GGAGTTGAACACATAATGTTTTTAAGTATTTAAAAAGCAAGATTTAAGGCCGGCGCCACGGCTCACTAGGCTATCCTCCGCCTTGGGGCCCGGCACACCGGGTTCTAGTCCCGGTTGGGGTGCTAGATTCTGTCCCGGTTGCCCTCTTCCAGGCCAGCTCTCTGCTGTGCCAGGGAGTGCAGCGGAGGATGGCCCAAGTGCTTGGGCCCTGCACCCCATGGGAGACCAGGATATACCTGGCTCCTCCATGCATATCAGCGCGGTGCGCCTGCCGCAGTGCGCCAGCCACGGAGGCCATTGGAGGGTGAACCAACGGCAAAGGAAGACCTTTCTCTCTGTCTCTCTCTCTCACTGTCCACTCTGCCTGTCAAAAAAAAAAAAAAAAAGCAAGATTTATTAGAGCCAGAGTGGCATGGAGGGGGCCCCAAGAGAGGCAAACCAGAAGGGGCCCGTGGCACTGGAGTTTTTAAGCACAGTTTTGGGGGAGGAAAAAAACTTCTCAGCTTGACATTCAGTTACAGGCAGGGACAAAACCCATCAAAAAAAAAAAAAAAAGACATATCATTCTTACTGTAGCAAAGCATTATTCTAAGAACTTTTAATTATTTGGCTTATGTTAATATACAATGCTACAAAATAGGCATATTATCTCTTTTAACTAATTTTTCTAAATCTAGAGAAATGAGTCTCTGAAGTTTCTGCTTTGAACTATGGAATACCACGCCTTCATCTACATCAGAGTAACACCATTATCTAATTTGTTCATTCTTAATGGACTATCATGCCACAGGACTAGAATATCAGCTACAGGAATAACCACAAACACACACACAACCCCCACATGCACAGACACACACTACACACACATACCATTCACAGACACATATGCACACATATACAACATACACACATACACCACAAGCACAACACACACTGCAAACACGCATATCACCATACACATACATACACACATGCACATACACGCATACACACACACAAACATACAGATACACACATACCATGAACACACACCCACGTACACACACACATGCACATGCCACACATTCACACATACACATACATCACGTTCACACACATACATATACCACATTCACACACACACATACACACATCACATGCAAATATGCATGCACACAAACACCACATACACAGACATACACGAAATGCACACACACACACACACGAGAAATCTCCAAAAAGTTCATGGAAATGTGTATTGTGAAACAAACTGACATGAATTTCAAAATTACTTTGCACCAAAAACAAACTTACAACTCCATTTCCTCTAATTTTTGAAATATATATACATATGTAAGTGTATTATACGTATTTACGCACACACAGAGAGAGAAACAGTTCCTAGTGTTTACTTTCATACACACACCTGCATTCTTGACCGTCTGGCCAAATGTGTACCATAGCATCATACAGAAGTATGCTTTCCCGAGAGAAAACTGAAGGTCTGCAGGGACTCCATACTTCTCTATCTGAAAAGCAGAAAATGCAAAACCATTGATCTCCAGTCCCATATGCAGATTTTAACCACCTTGACGACTCCTTTCCAAAGTGCTTTGTACTTACATGGTTGACTGTGAGTGCAGCGCACGGGTGGTAGTGTGCAATGACAAAATCGTTATCCTTTAGAGAACACACATACTTTTCTAGATCGTTGTATCGTTCTTTGTAACACACTGTGAAAGTGGAATTAAAATGCGGATTAAGATGGGTTTGTGTCTCTCAGCAATGATGTAATTCCGATTTTCTAAAGACAGCTAGGCCTAGGGAGAGCTGTGCTGGAAGCCTCTGTCGACAAAACGACAACAGGGCCATGCAGTGGAGGAGGAACTTATGTGCCTATACCGCACACAGATGTTTTACCTGCCCTCCTGGCCTGGATCTTCAGTCACAGTCCATCCTTGCTTCTTGTAATTCCTAGTGTATATTTTCTAAATATTCCTGGGAAAGCATGCTTTTGCATAAGGAGCATGGTTTGAATAAAAGGCCTGCAACCCATTCAACTATTTCAATAGGAAACACGGGTGTTACTGGATCATCTCCCTGTCTTGGAGAACAGTATCACCATCTCCCAGAGAAAACGAGCCTTCTTCTGTCATTTACTCATTTTTTAAATCCAGGAATCCAGTATGCCACAGGGCTTTGTTAATATGTCACTTAAAATTAGGACAATTTAGCATTTACCTACCTAACATGTTATCTATTTTACTTACGCATTGTTTAACCCTGCATCTCCATAAAAATTAAGCTCTAGGAAAGCAAGGAGTTGTTTTCTGCTCTATCTCTAGGGACTTGAGTGGGATCTGGCACAGATGAGGTACTTTGACATTGTCAAGTGAAAACATGTATATGGGGCCTGTGTGGCACACCTGGTTGAGCTTCTGTTTGCAACCTTGCCATCCCATAGAGTGACAGGTCAGGTCCCGGCTGCTCCACTTCCATCCACCAACACCCTGATATTGTACTGAGAAAGCAGATGATGGCCCAAGTACTTCAGCCCCTGCCAACCACGTACGAGAGTCAGATGGAGCTCCTGGCTCCTGGCTTCAGCCTGGCCCATTCTCAGCTATTATGGTCATTGAGAGAATGTACCAGCAAATGGACAATCTCTCCCTTTCTGTGTCACTCTGCTTTCAAATAAATTAACCTTTTTTTTTTAAGGTTCTCTAATCTACTGTTGGTGGGAATGCAAACTAATACAGCCATTGTGGAAGACAGTATGGCGATTCCTCAGACAGCTGAAAAAAGATATGTCATATGACCCAGTTATCCCACCCCAGGAGTTTACCCAAACAAAATAAAATCAGCATATGAAAGAGTTATCTGTACATCCATGTTTATTACAGCTCAATTTCCAACAGCTCAGATATGGAATCAACCCAGGTGTCCATCAAGTGGTGACTGGACAAAGAAAATGTGGAATACATACACTTTGGAATATTACTCAGCTGTAAAAAATGGAATTCTGTCTTTCACAATAAATTGGATGTACCTGGAAACCATTATACTTAGTGAAATAAGCCAGTTCCAAAAAACAAATACCATATGTTTTCCCTGATCTGTGGTAATGAAGAGTATCAAAAAGTAATGTATAATTATTTGCATTGCAATCTGCAAAAATTATTCTTCTGTGTAAAATGGCTTAAAGTCTAAATGAACTTAATCATTATCCTGTAACCACACAGGAAATATTTAAATGTTACATTGTCATTGCTTCTATTTCATTTAAAAAAATGTATGGGTGAAATGGTCACTTTTTCTCTTCAATTATTGATAGCCGCTGTGTATATTCCCACTAAACTAGGGTCGTCTTGCTTTTTACATGTTAAACTTCTTATTAGGTAAGGTATTAACCTTTTTTTAGTATTCAGCCTTTTTACAGTACTGGAAATTTAAAATATGCTATCTCAAAACCTAAAAAAAAGAAAGGTAGCAGGAAGGAGACTGGGAGGGAGGAAGGGAATACCATTATGTTCTTAGACTTGTATCTATAAGCATATTGATTCTTAAAATTAAAACAAAAATGAAATAAAACAGCATGAATGTCACATATAGGAATCTGAAATTCACAGTAGCTAAGAGATGGAATTAACCTAGATGTCCATCAACTGATTACTAGATAAAGAAAATGTGGTATACATACATGATGGAATTTATTCAGCCAAAAAAAAAAAAAAAAAAAAACAAAAAACCAAAACAGAGAGAGAATGAAATCCTGTCTTTTACAATAAAATGGATGCAACTGGAAACCAATTTACTTAGTGAAATAAGCCAGAACCAAAAAGACAATAGTAGGTTTTCTGATTTGTGGTAAGTAAGATATAGAGTACACAAAAAGTCATGTATATGAGTGACACTGACATCCTGAGATTTGATTATTGCTTATAGCCCTTGTCAACACCCCTGTAGAACAGTGGTCTTCCTATGGGTGGAATCCTTTATTTAGTGGAGGACTAGCCCTGTGATGAAAGAAGTTGAAAGTATGTTATTGCAAAAATTAAAAGGGAAAAAAAGAAAGGATGGAGGACGGTAGTAGGGAGAGTGGGAAGTATCATTATGTCCTGCAAATTGTATATCTGAAATCTGTTCTCGTTATACAAAGAAAAATAAAAAGTAGTCAGATAAACATGATTCTATACTACTTCAGAGAATTCTCACGAAATAGTCCCAAATGCATGCGGTAAGGAATACTCAATTCAATAGTAAAACATTTAGAGTATGTGCATAATAAAACAATTATGATATGGATAAAAGCATATGATTTCAAATATCCAGTATTTTCCAAGGAAAAGAGGGGCACATACAAAAATAACTACCACAGGTGGTAGGAAATTGCGTAACATAGGACACCCTATGGGCCCTGACCTAGAACAATCAAGGTGGTGTTCGGGATGTGCCGCAAGGCAGAATCTTTCCAATAAAGAGTAGACAGGACTTGGCCAAGTACAGAGGAAAGTGACCCAGGGAGAGCGTTCTAGAAGAAAACCTGAAACTCAAAGGCAGATTTCAGAGCACAATTAATAATCCAAACTATCAAGAAAGTCCTGAAAGGAGAAGATTTCTTAGATGAAACAGGGGATAGCACAGAAGCTGGGACCACAGGTGAATTGGAAATTTTGAAACACATTGTTCAGTGAGCCAGAACTGTCCTCTAGGTTTGTTTGAGTCTTTTCTCACAGAACAGGAGTGAAATGCTTATCTTGGCTATGACTCCATATCAATCACATTAAATCATGAAGGAATTCGCACAACACCAAAATAGACAATATTTGGAAAGAATTTGATCTCCAAGTTCAGTCAGTCAGCTCTGTGGACGTCAACATGGAATATCACCTCCTAGAGCTGTTTCCTATCTATTTCATTTCCTCTGTAAGTGAAAGTAAGATGCACTGCCTTTCACGGTTACAATAAGAACAAGTTGCTCTGCGTATGTAGAACACCCTCAAATGTGACGAGCACACGGGGTATGCTTGCTACTTCTGCACTCCCCTCTCCCGAGTGAAGAAATCCATACCCAGTCTAACTTTGTACGATGGCTTTCCCACTCTTGTTCGTTGTTGTCTCTTTGAGCTTTTTAAGGCATTTCTTGATGGATCAGCATTTTCCATTGTGCTTTCAACACGTTGCCAATATCCTTTAACTAACGCCAACCACCTAGTTACAAAAAGAGAACAATCATTGTTGCAGAAAAACGTGTTCCTAAGTCTGTATATATGAATCACATGAAATTTGTTTACCTTAAATAAAAAAATTTTAAAAAGATAAAATGAAAAATTGGAAATGATGGGTGTGGTTCATTAACTTTGACAAAGATATCAGCATAAAGCGTAATAGCAGAACTTGGGTGAAGGGGAATATGGTAACTCTTTGTATCTCATAATTTGTCTGCAAATTTAAAATTGTTCTTAAGATGTTAAAAAGCAGATATGACTGGAGGGAGGCACGATGGTGGAACAGTGACAGGGAAGTCTTCTATAGGCTCCACGAACTTAGCAGAAAAAAAAGTGAAGTCACACTCTCCGGGAAAACTGCAGTGGGAGATCTTGCAAAAGCAGTGGAAACGGCCTGGACCTAAGGGGAAGGCACAGGCACACAGCAAGGAGCTCGGAGCGTGGAGCAGGAACACAACAAAGGAACCAGCAGCCCACCTGGATAGCCAGGTGGGGTCAGACTGCACCGGCCCTTGCCACACCACGGCTGGTGCAGCTGGAAGAAGAATCTAGTAGACTGTGCAGTGTCTGAGTCCAGCCCAGAACCCTCAGGGGAGCTGGGGCGACTGCTCACCCAGAGTGGGGGAAGAAAAGCCGAGCACCTCCCTCACCACGGCTCCCGCTACCACACCAGCACCCTGCAGCTAACAGGCCGGGAGACAGCTGCCGTCATTCCACAAGATCAGAGCAGCGGCTCCAGCTTCTCCGAGCGCACCCAGTAGCTAGTGGGAACTGTTGGCAGGGGCAACCAGAGCAGTTCGAATCAACTGGTGGGGTCTGTCCCCACCTGTCATCAGGCCAACAACACCAGCTCCTCTGTACCCTTATGGCAAAGGGCGGGGAGGGGGAGCCATCCCCACCAAAGGGAAGCGCCACCCTCAGGGCTCTTGTACCCACCCAGCACAGTTCTGAAAGCAGCAGGGCTGCAGATGGCAAGTACTGTGCTTGCTTGCAACCCAGGGATTCTACCAAGGCGAAAAATCCCTGTGGACTTTGAGTCTGCTCAGGGTGAAACACACAGCCTCCCTGTGGACAGGACAGCCTAGCGGGGCAGAGTGTACTCTCTTGCAGTCCTTGTCTGTGGGAGCCCAGGGTGCTGAGACTGTGAAAACACTGTGACTGTGAGAGGGGGCAGGGTGTAGCGGGTGCTGGGTAAGTTCTGGGTGCAGAGCCACACTTTCAGAACTCCTAGGTTGCCAGGGCAGACCACTGCAGCTGGACCCGTGCACACAGAGAGCTCTGCACACGTTCCCGAATCTGCATACAGGAAATGGATGAAATTTGTATACTTTAAATTAAATAAAATTTTTTAAACAAGAAAAGCTTTAATTTTCAAAAAAAAAAAAAGAATGAATATAAATCTCAGACTCACTCAGTGAGATGCTCAGGGTTACTGATAGTAGCAGAAAGGGCCAAAAAGGGACAACGAATCATAACAAGGAGATGTTCCCACACTTCCGCTCCAACTTCTCCCCCAAGGCAGTGAACCTGTCAGTGTAAACAGACTCAATGTCAGAATGGGGACAGGGGTTTTATTTTTTAATGTTAATAAACTACCTTGTTACCAGACCTACTTTTCCCTTCTACTCTCCATTTCAGTAACATTCATTTACCCACTGACAAAGCTTGTGAAAGAAGCCAATATGTTTTGCAGAATCACAGTATGTTCCAGACTTTAACAATAATGTATTTAGGAATGACTTGCTCTGTAACACATTGTGATGACTGACCCATAAGCAAGTACTATTGCCTGCCGTGGTAGTGAAAGCGCATCAAGCACACCATGAACAAAAGGACACATGTTAAGTGTTATTTACAAAAGAAACACTGGTTGAATGACAGAGATTGTCCTAAACAGATACTAAGATAAATCTTGATACAAACCCACATTTGCTTATGCATCACTAATCTCAACACCTTTAAACAGTCTTGATAGATAACAGTATCTATCTTCAAAGGCATTTTATAAAGAGGAAATACAATTTCCTAGAAATTATTTAGAATATATGCCAATCACAGTAAACATTAAAATAATGATGCCAATTATATTTTGTATAGCAATGCATAAGTTACAATATACTTAATTATTAATTAACACAATGCTTGTATTCTTTTCCTAACCTTTATTTTGTTGTGAAACATAAGATTCAATAAATTACATAAAGCTTGATTTTTCAGATCACAAAGTATTATCCATGGAAATGAAGTAAACCAAATGTCATTGTCACTGCACCTGTAAATCAAGATAAATAATGCCTCTAGCATTTCAGAAGCCCAGATTATAACAGCTTCCCTCTTTGGAAGTTACTATATCAATTTTTGAAAAAATTATGATTCCATTGGTCATTCTACTTCTTCACATGTCCATGTGTATATATGTACTTGTATGTTTATATATAAAGCATAGAAATTTATTTTGCCCATTTAAAACATTGTATAACTGGAATTATTTAACTTGTGTTCTTTGTATCTAACTTCCTTTGCCCAACATGATTTTTAAATTAATCTGCATTTCAGCCGGCACGTGGCTCACTAGGCTAATCCTCCGCCTGCAGCACTGGCACCCTGGGTTCTAGTCCCAGGTTGCTCCTCTTCCAGTCCAGCTCTCTGCTGTGGCCCAGGAGGGCAATGGAGGATGGCCCAAGTGCTTGGGTCCCTACACCCACATGGGAGACCCGGAGGAAGTACCCAGCTCCTGGCTTCGGGTTGGCACAGCACCAGCCGTAGCGGCCATTTGGGGGGTGAATCAATGGAAGGAAGACCTCTCTTTCTCTCTCTCTGTCTAACTCTGCCTGGCAAAAAATTTAAAAAAAAAAATTAATCTGCACTTCATTGACTTTCCTCACTCTATGTATTTTATCAAATGCCTGTGCCACCTTCTATTTTTTTCTACTCTGGAGGACATTTCAGTTGTTTATAGTTTGATAACACCACCAATGATGCGACTATGAACATTTTGTACAGGTATCCTAGCCTGATTCAGTCTTACTCTTGAAAACGTGACTCCTGTTTTTCTATTTCAGAATATATACAAGTGGAATTCCTTGTTCCTGAAGTACTGTCACCATCACTAGTTTTGTTGAGACAATTTCCAAAGCAGCACAATGTCCGTGCCTTCCCGTTGCTCCTCCTCCTCTGCAACACCTGACACTCTAATTGTCAACACTGTGATGGGTAAGACTCAATGTGAGGTTACTTTCAATTAATTTAGTTCTTTATTTGAGAAGAAAAACAGAGAGAAAGGCAGAAAGGGACAAAGACTGTACCTACTGACTCACTCCCCAAATATCCACAATGTCCTGGGCCAAGCCAAAGCCAGGAGCTGGGAACTCAACCTGGGTCTCCCACATGCATGATAGGAGCCCAATTACTTGAGGTATCACCTGCTGCCTCCCTGGGTGCACATTCACAAGCAGCTGGAGTCGAGAGTCTGAGTTGGGAATGGAACCCAGGCTCTTCAATATGGGATCTGGGCAAACGCCTGCCTCTCAGTGTGACATCAACTTGTATTTCACTTGACTTACTTTTCAGAAGTGTATCAAGGGTCTTCAAAAAGTTCACAGAAAATGTATGCTATGAAAAAGTTATTTGTGGAGGGGCTGGCATTGTGGCACAGCCGGTCCAGCATCCCAATGAGCCCCTGTTTGAGTCCCAGCTGCTTCATTTCTGGTCCAGTTCCCTGCTAATGCACCTGGGAAAGGTAGCAGACGATATCCCAAGTGTTTGGGCCCCTGCCACTCAAGTGGGAGACCCAGATGTAGTTCCTAGCTTCTGGCTTTGGCCTGACCCAGCCCTGGCTGTTGTGACCATTTGGGGAGTGAACCAGTACATGGAAGATATCGCGCTCTCGCTCGCTCGCTCTCTCTCTCTCTCTTCCCCCTTAAGGATGTGCTACACACAGAAACACAGAGAGATAGCCATCATTATGAAAGAATGTAAAGGCAGAAAATCCCCCAGTAAAAGTACAAAAGAAATTCAAAGTAAACAATGGGAATATTATGGGAAAATGGCAGAGCCAAGTTGTTACTTATCAATAGTCATGTTGAATGTAAATGGCTTCACCTCTCCAGTAAAAACCAGACTGGCTGAATGGATTAAAAAACAAGACTCATCTATTTGCTGCCTACAAGAAACACCTCTCATCAACAAAGATACAAACAGACTGAAAGTGAATGGATGGAAAAAGATACTCCATGCCAACAGAAACCAAAAAGAACTGGTATACGATCCTAATATCAGACAAAATAAACTTCAACTTGAAAACTGCTGAAAAAGACAAAGAAGGGCACCATGTAATGATTAAGGGATCAATTCAACAGGAAGAAGTGACTATTGTAAACGTACATGCACCTAGTTACAGTCACCTGGTTATTTAAAGAAATGTTAATGGATCTAAAGGGAGATAGGACTCCAATACAATAGTAATGGGGTGGAGGGAGGTCAGACCAAGGCAACAGGACCAGTCTCACAGGGCAAAATAGCTAATAAGGAAGGGGTATATAAGCCAGCAGTGACAGAGCCATGAGAATTTCATGCAGAGAAGCCCAGGAGTCCAACAGAGACTGAGCAGGCCCACACTGAGGGAGCAAAAAGTGGTGGAAGAGCAGTGGAGAAACCGAACCTCGAGACTGACACCACCCCCACCCCCGGCAGACCAGGCGAGACACGAGGTCTCAAGTCCACGGAGCTGTGGGTAGAAGTGGGCGGGGGAGCCTGGTGAACTGTGTTTGAAGTTCCAAGCTGGAAGAACAGGGGAACAAATGGAGAGGTTGGGCACCTCCTACCATCCATGTCTCCCCCTCCCCACAATCAGACCTGCAGCCTGCTGGGAGAAGCCATATTATTTGTTTACATCTTCAAATGTAAGCAGGGGGCGACTGCTTTGCTGCTCATGCTCATGTCCGTCAATTGGGGGGGCCACTTCACAAGACCCCAGAAATAGGATCACAACATTCCAGAGTAATTTCCCCACCACCAGCAGCAAGCTGTACAACAAGGAGAAGTACTAAATATCGAAATCTCGAGCTGGTTCCATGCACAAGCGAGAAGCAAGCCCAACCCCAAAAGGCAGGGCTTAGTGCATCAGAGCTCTCGTACCTGCCCCATCAAGATCAAGAAGTGAACAGGACGACTCCTGGAGGCGGCCCTGCGTGCTTCCATTTGCAACACACAGACACATAGCAGCTCATAGCAGTGGGAAATCTCACTGTTAGGTAGGAAGTCAGATATGAGCTTATGTGTGTATGACATAAAGGCTTAAAGAGAAGACGTCTATGTCCAGCATATGCATCTGCATCTCAAAGTCATCCCAATAACGTTTCAGGGGCAGCCCAGTGTTCACATCCTGCACTGCCCCTTCCTACCCCATAATCTGCCAGGTGGGGTCCCTGCCCCTTCTGCCTGACAATCTTCCACAATCGCAGCCCAGTATCTGAATTTAAAATACCCTGCTCCAGATCCTGGGTTAGGATGGTGCCAGCTAGGCTTCCTCCTGTCTGATACCTTCAGAGGAAAACCCAGATAGGAGCTTCTTACTATTTGCATCCATAAAATCCTTTGTTTCAGGAGATGTGTGAAGACAAATACTCATCTCCTTAAAAACCCCCAGCCTCCACCGGACGGTGCGCTCTGCCTCTCTGCTGAGCTGCCTGCCTGCCTGGCCAGGTGTAATCTCTCCATTCAACCATGTAACCTCGTCCCCCCCCCCCGCCCGCCCCAGTCCAAGTGACTGCGCACTCTCTCTCAGGTCCTATCTGGAGAGGTGCCCATCCGTTCTTACGAATGTCCCTTCCCTAATAAACTTTGCTATTTTACTCTTCTACTACTCTGTCTCACGCCTGAATTCTTTCTTGCAAAGACAAGAACTCTGCCATTCACAGTAACATCACCACAAGCACCAAGACACATATTTAAGAGAAAAGCAACCGGAAATGCCAAAAAAACAAAGGAAAAAACCTTAATAAGGATAAGAAAGACAGTATGAGTCCCTCCCAAAGGAATACTACAACTCTTCAATAATAGAAGCTGGAGAAGAGGCTGAGGTTATGCCAGAAATGGAATTCAGAAAATTAATCATCAGATTACTTAGAAGCAATCAGAAATAAACTCACAATCTAAATGAAACATGTTCCCAAGAAATTGAGATATTAAAGAGAAGTCAGTATGACCTTGTCTAAATAAGATTGGAGTTGGTGAACTCAAAAGGCTTCCATAGCCTTGGCAACCCATGATAAGAGCCTAGGGTGATTACTGATGCCATAAACAAGAGTGTCAATTGTTAAGTCAACAACAGGAGTCATTGTGCACTTACTCCCCATGTAGGATCTCTGTCCTTAATGTGTTATACTATGCAAATTAATGCTATAACTAGTACTCAAACAGTACTTTACACTTTGTGTTTCTGTGTGGGTGCAAACTGTTGAAATCTTTACTTAATATATACTAAATTGATCTTCTGTATATAATGATAATTGAAAATGAACCTTGATGTGAATGGAATGGGAGAGGGAGCTGGAAATGGGAGGGTTGCAGGTGGGAGGGAAGTTACGGGGGGGGGGCACTGTAATCCAAAAGCTGTACTTTGGAAATTTATGTTTATTAAATAAAAGTTAAAAAAAGAGAAGTCAGAATGAAATACTAGAAATGAAGAATTCCATAGTTCAAATAAAAAATGCAGTGGAAAGCCTTAACAATAGAATAAGTGAGACAGAAAAAAGAATATCAGACTAGAAGACAATTTTCTGGAAATAATAAGGTCAGACCAAACACAAGAAGAAGAAATTAGGAAACTGAAAAACATGGTAGGAGATCTACAAGATTCTATCAAACGACCCAACACACAGATCCTAGACTGCCAGAAGGCATGGAGAGAAAGAATTAGAAGGCCTTCTTAATGCAATAATAACAGAAAACTTCTGCAATCTGGAGAAAGAGACATCCAAGTACAGGAAGTACACAGAATTCCCAAAAGACAGGAAGAGAAAAGATCTGCACCTTGACACATTGTAGCATAGCTCTCCTCCATAACGCATAAAGAAAAGATCTTAAAACCTGCAGGAGAGAAAGACAAATCACACTCAGAAAACCCAATTAGATTCACTTCCAACTTCTCATCACAAACCCTAAAGACAAGGAGAGAATGGAAGACATACTCCAAGTCCTAAGGGAAAAAAATTGTCAACCCAGAATACTGTACCCTGCAAAGCTCTCATTTATGAATGAAGGAAAAATAAGGATCTTCCACAACAAACAGAAATTGAAAGAATTTCTAACTACCTGCACAGCCCTAAAAAGATGTTCAAGGATGTGCTACACACAAAAACACAGAAACAGGAACATCCCTACAAAAGTAGTTGAATGCAGAAAATGACCCAGCAAAAGTACAAACAAAATTCAAAAACAGAACTATTTACAGAAACATGGCAGGGCAAAGTCGGCACTTAACAATACGTATGGTGAATGTAAATGGCCTGAACTCACCAGTTAAAAGACACAGACTAGCTGAATGGATTAAAAAAGAAAATCCATCTATTTGCTGCCTACAAGAAACATATCTTTCCAACAAAGATGCATGCAGACTGAAAGTGAAAGGATGAAACAAGATATTCCACGCTAACAGAAACCAAAAAAGAGCTGGTGTGGCCATCCTAAATCAGACAAAATAAACTTTAACACAAAAACTATTAAAAGAGATAAAGAAGGGCACTATACAATGATTAAAGGATCAATTCAACAGGAAAATGTGACTATTATAAATGTATATGCACATAATAACAGGGCACCTGGTTATTTAAAAGAAATGTAAAGGGAGATATAGATTCAAATACAATAGTAATGGGGGACTTCAATACCCCACTTTCAGCAATGGACAGATCAATGAGGCAGAATATCAAAAAAGAAATAACAGAGTTAATCAATACCATAGACAAAATAGACCTATTAGCCTATTAGCTATCTATAGAGCCTTCCACCCTACAGCCACAGGGTACATCTTATTCTACTTGGTACATGGAACTTTCTATAGGATTGACCACATACTAGGCCATAAAGCAAGTCTAAGCAAATTCAAGCAAATCAAATCATGCCATGCATCTTCTCGGACCACAATGCAAGGAAACTGAAAATCAACAACTCAAGAATCTCTACATTATATGAAAACACATGGAGAATGAACAACATGTTCCTGAATGCACAGTGGGTCATAGAAGAAATCAAAAGAGAAATCAGAAAATTTCTGGAAACAAATGAAGACAACAATACAACATACCAAAATTTGTGGGATACAGCAAAAGCAGTGTTAACAGGAAACAACTCTCCCAGAACTTATTGGTAAACCCTTCTATAAACAACTTATATTTATTTTAGTAACTAACCATATGAATGCCATCTTTATTAAAGTACATATGGTACATGTGGTCTTGGTTGACATAAAATATTCTGTTGAGATAAAAGGAATAAAAAGCACATACCTCATCAAATATGACATAGCGCATTCTTTCTGTCCATTTCTGATAATGAGGTGATAGCAAGAGTAATTCCAAACACTGAGGCACTGTTACTAATATCTGTTTTTTTTAAAAAAAAAGCTGTTTTAATTTCCAAACATTAATAAGAAATTTTATGACACACTATATCCATCTTGACATTTCCATGTTCAAAAAAATATTTCATTAATGTGAAAGTAAAATGAATATGTACAACTGATCCCCACATATGCTGCCACTGATACACTCAAAAGCAGTTAAGTTTGTTTCATTAAGAAACATTCTCTTGGGGCTGGTGCTGTGATGTAGCAGGTAAAGCCGCTGCCTGCAGTGCCAGCATCCCATATGGGCACCAGTTCTAGTCTCGGCTGCTCCACTTCTGATTCAGCTCTCTGCTATGGCTTGGGGAAGCAGTAGAGGATGGCCCAAGTGCTTGGGCCCCTGTACCCATGTGGGAGACCAGGAAGAAGCTCCTGGCTCCTGGCTTCGGATCACCACAGCTCCAGCCATTATGGTCAGTTGGGGAGCGAACCAGCAGATGGAAGACCTCTCTCTCTCTCTGCCTCTCCTCTCTCTGTAGAACTCTTTCAAATAAATAAATAAATCTTTTTAAAAAAAAAGAAATATTCTCTGGCACAGTATTCTGGGAATACAAAAGTCACCATGTCCTGAAACCATCTCTACTAAAGAGGAAGTTGCTTCCTCAGGCTAAAATTTCAGAAAAGTAATGCATTCTCTTTACGTAACATTTATGTAATGTAAACATTTAATAATTAATATAGAATTAAAATATCATCAGTAATCAAATTCTTAGATAAGAAAAATTATACAAACCATCTAGCCCAATATAAATACATCTATCAGGGTAGCTGTGGGTTTCATGTTACCCCATTAAAACCCTACGTGTCTCCCAGAGTGCCACATTCACACTACGACTCATCACGCGGACAGCTGTGACGTACCTGACAGTTCAAGGTGTCGTGGCGGTAATCCCTTGTGAAAACTCCACACACCACTGAGCCTTTCGGCAGTGCTTTAGTAAACAAATTGTAGACAGTTCCCACCACCTGGTTAACCAGAGCCTGCAGTCACAAAAGACAGAGTGAGCAGCTACTCAGTAAACTATCAACAATGCTGCAAAAAAACTGGTTCAAGCAAACCCACGTCTGGAACCACTGATACGCAACAATGCAGTACCGAACTGGTAACAATTCTGCCCTAATAAGGCAATACCTCACAGCAAATCCTTCCACCAATTCCATTTAAGTTTTCTAAATGTTATATAATACAATGCAGTGCCTGTTGATGGGATGGCCAGCAACAAAAACACAAACAGTGGTTCCTCGTCCCGTCAGTGTAATATGTGCTGATACAGGTAATATTAGATGGCGCCTGTATTTTACAATGCTGAACAGTAATGGGCACAGCACTGAAGCTCACTAAGCTCCCGCGTCCTCATCAGTGAAGGATGTGGCTCGTGGGACGCAGGGCCCCTCCCCACACTGGCTCCTCGCAGTGCAGCTGTAAGCCTGGGAATTAAGTATTTTGCTAGGGAAAGTGAGAGGAAGGAGTGTATCCCAAAACCCCTTTTGAGAGAAAAAGAATATTTATTTCGCAAGTGCCCTTTAACTCTACTTCACCCAGGTTGCTGCAAAGGAAGAAACCCATGGCCCCTGTAAGAATCCAAGGCTCTTCCATCAGGCACCTGCCCAACCCCAGAGCTGGTAAAACTGAGGGGAGAAGCGCCTCTCTCTCTCTCTCTCTCTCTCTCTCCCTCTCTCTCTCTCTCTCTTGAACTTGTCTGTCCTCTCTTAAGTACACAAGCCTGGCACCAACACCAAATCATTCCCATTGGCAAGACTCTCAGAAGTGTCCAGCCCTGTCTTTTCACAAGTGCTGGCCCTAGGGAGATTTATGAGAGAACACTAATAAACAAATGCTTGTGAATGGCACATTTACCCATCATTATTCATGCCCAGACAGTACACTGGATGCCTGGTGTGCCTTGTCTCAGGTCACGCTCGGAACAACAGCATAAAGTAAGCGGTGCCGTGTCTCCTTGCAGGTGGAAAACATGCCAGGAAACTGGCCAAGGGCACACAGCACATGAGCACCAAGCCCACGACTGTGTGACACTGGAGGCTGGGCACTACCAGGTGGGACACACGGCTACGGCAGAGGAACACCCCTAGAACAGCGCAGGGTCACAGGGCACGATACCTTTGTGGGCGCAACGTACACGGCCACTCCGTCATCGCTCTCCCGCAGGACTTTCCCCATGCAGTAGTAGGAGGCGTAGGTTTTCCCTGATGAGGTTGGAGCAACAATCACAGCCGACTCATTGTTATCTACGACATCCAGGAGTTCCCTCTGAGGGAAAAAAAATCACCTTTCATTGGAAAATGCATCTTCACTGTCATTTTTAAGTTGGCTTCAACTAGCTCTTAGACTAGTGTTTACAGTTCTGAGACCTGCTAGTGCTCAAGATGGCAGGAATCACCACTTCCGGCTATGTGCAAATAACCCAAATCACTGGAGACAGGAAAGTCCTTACTTAAACTTAGATTTAAAAACCCTCTAATACAGCAGAGGACAGTGCCACGGGTCTGTAGCCTGGCTCTTGGAGTTCTTTTTAGTTCAGATTAGGGAAACCTCATGCTGAGACGGAATTACCAAAACCTGTTGCTCTTTTCATTTCCATGTTTCATTAATTATGGTCAGTGAATGATTAAGGTGTAGAAAAGAAGTTTTTCAAAAAATGTATGCAAATACATAATAGGATCCGTGACACATCATGATGTATTATGAGTGACTGTGGTTGAACAATTGGACAACCCAAAAGCAACACTACTTTAAAAAAAAAAAAAAACAGTATATTTTGCCAAATATACATCAGGCACCTATTTTGTTATGTGAATTAAGTGGCTGCACAGAATTGGAGTGTATAGTTGGGTTCTTGTTTGTTTTGTTTTTGCTTTTGTTTTTATTTGAGGGGCAAAGACACAGATAGACAAAGACAGGTCCCATCTGCTGGTTCACTCCCCAAATGCCTAGAAACTGGGAACTCAATCCAGGTCTCCCCTGTGAATGGCAGGATCCCAATCACTTGAGCTTTCACTGCCGCCTCCTAGCGTGCATTAGCAAGAGCTGGAGTCAGGAGCTGCATGTGACACCCAAGCACTATGGTTTGGGACGCGGCGTCCTGACCAATGGCTTCACAACCAGGTCAAACTGCTGCTTCTCAATGCATGCTTCCCACACTCCATTTAAGAGAACCAGTGTATCTGTCACTCAACTGACTCGTCACTGCATTGCTTTATCTCTTGGGCCAAGACATGATTTACTTTTCTTGTCATTAAGTCGCTTTCTAGAACAACAGGCATTTTCAAAATTTGTCGCACACAATGAGGTCTGAACACACAGTTTCACCAAAGCGTCTTTGCCTTTCCATACGACAGATCTTTTAGAGAAATACCTGCCACGTGTCCGGTATAAAATGATGCACCCGGGGATCTGGATCACTTCTTTCTTCTCGGAACAAGTAAGGGCCCATGTGCGTTAACTGAAACCGAGCGGCTCCCATGTGAACTGAGTATTTAGAAATATCCTTCCCAGCACCTGACTCCTTCCCCTAAAATAAGTATGGTGCATTAGACCTCTGTACGACTTTACAATTCCTAACCTGGGCATGCAGGAATTATTCCCAATCCTGTTGTAGTTTGCTTTGCCTCAGTGAGATTATTTTTTCATGTTCTTTCAATAAGCTGCAACTCTTAAAACTGGATAACCCAATTTTGGAGTTACCAGAGGGTAAAAGTGCCACTCAACTTAATATATCATTACAATAGCACAGGGAACATTGAGGCTATATTCAGTATAATTTTTTAAATATCATTTTTATGGCAAGATCATTTTCCATGGCATATAAGTAAAAGACAATATGAAATTGATCTTTTGTTACAAATTAGTAAAATCTTTGATAACTGTTCCACAATTATTACACACACACACACACACTCACACACACTAAAACTGTATTTCCTTTAAGGAATTTTTTCTGACCTTAAAAAGGCATCTTTGGTAAAAATAAATATCTCTGTAAAGATCTATATAACAAATACCTATCATCTTACAAGTCAAACTATTTTACTCAGAGAATTCCACCCAATGGGTCAACAGCTCTTACTACAGGGCCTCAACATCACAGGAAATTCACGTGCTTGGCTGAGCCTCCATTCTCAGAGTTCTGACAAAACTGGATTATGATCATATTAGCCATGCATGGAAAACATAAACTTCTGTGCCAAAGTGTTCTCACTGTCAATCAACACCAAGACATGTTTGGACACAATGATGGCTTGGAGCAGAGAAGACTTCATTTAAAAATTGCCAAAAATATTAATGGAAAATGTTTAAAAACAAGCTTTTTAAAATTTATTTACTTTCTCATTTAAGAAATTAAAAAGTAATAGCAGTTTTGGTCATGCAATGTTTAAGCAAATATCCTATTTCAAATCTACAGCTGTTGGAAATAGCTAGATTCCCGTTCTGATCATCACCATCAAGGTTTTCTTGTTTTATTTTTTTAGAGAGAGAGTTGCTTTCCTAGAGCTTATAGGTCTCCAAGTCTCTTAAAGGAGTGAGGAACAGCTCTCCTCCCTTCAGACAAACCCTATACCTGTGCAACATAAGGTAGGCATAGAATAACCAAAGGAAGGGATTTGTGTGAAGACTCATAATTTCCACTCTTGATGTTCACATCCTGCATTAAGATAATTCTTTCCAATGAAATTAGTTTCTCTATCCTCATGGCTTCAAAGGCCTTCTTAAATATGTCAGTCTTCCTGATAGAAGGCTTATTAGATGGGATAGTTAAATTTTGTCTGTGGCACTTGGGGAACAGAGATGTAGGGCTCCTTCCATGTTTGCATGATAGGAAACCTGACCTCAGACTCTTAGTGAATCTACAGAATCACCAAAGACTGGTTGAAAGTATTCCTGAGATGAGCAGAGCGAGATACACCAAGGAAGGGGCCACAGGCCCTGCTGAGATTCCCAGCAAGGCTAACCTAGCAAAGACGGGGGTCCCAGTGAAGCCTAAGGAAAGTCAGAAAGCCTAAAATGGGGAGATTTGGCACAGGAAGTGGAGAGCTACCTATATCTCCTCTTTTTGGCTTCTCACCCTGAGCTGGTATCTCTCCCCACATCCCTTATATTTCTCTACTTACAGAAATATCTCCACTCTAAGACCATGCAGTACCCCAAGCATGTCTTCATAATTTCTAAAAACACTATTTTAAAGGCATTACTTGAAGAGATTTTTTTAAAAAATTTATTTAGTTGAAAGGCAGACTTACAGAGAGAGAAAGGCAGAAGTAGAGAGAGAGAGAGAGAGGTGTTCCATCTGCTGGTTCACTCCCCAACTGGGCACCATGGCTAGAGCTGTGCTTATCCGAAGCCAGGACCCAGGAGCTTGGGCCATCTTCCATTGCTTTCCCAGGCCATAGCAGAGAGCTGGATTGGAAGTGGAGCAGCTGGGTCTTGAACCAGCACCCGTATGGGATGCTGGCACTGCAGGTGGTGGCTTAACCCTCTATACCACAGCACTGGACCCTTGAAGAGATATTTTGACCTACAATTTTTCTCTGGGGCCAGCATTGTGGCTCAAGGGGTTAATCTTCCACCTGCAAGGTCAACATCCATATTCCAGTCCCATCTCTCTGCTAATGCACCTGGGAAAGCAGCATAAGATGATCTAAGTATTTAGGGATCTGTGATCCACATTGGAAACCAGAATAGAGTTCCTGGCTCCTGGCTTCACCTTAGCCCAGGCCTAGCTATTACAACCATTATGGGAGTGAATCAGTGTATGGAAGATTTATTCTCTTCTAAAAGTTAACTAAAGATAAGGCATGACAAGAACCATGACCAAAAAGTGTTCCACTCCTATGAAATTTGCACACAAAGTTTTGAAACAATGAACATATGAATAAAATACAAACAAAAAAATTCAGACAATGACATATGTGTAAGAGTTATCTGTAACCCCAGTTCTTTGCAGCTCAATTCACAATAGCCAAGATACAGAATCAACCCAGATGTCCAACAACTGATGACTAGATAAAGAAATTATGGTTTATATACACTATGGAGTACCACTCAGTGATAAAAAAAAAATGAAATCTTGACTTTTGCAACAAAATGGATGCAACTGGAAACCATTATACTTGGTGAAGTAAGCCAGTCCCAAAAAGACAGATACCATATGTTTTTCCTGATCTGTAGTAACTAACAGAGTACTTAAAATGTAATGTATTGGAATTAAATTGACATTTTGAGATTTGATGACTGTTTATAGCCCTTGTCTCTACTGTTAAGGGACGGTGGTTTTTTTTTTTTTTCTTTCATACTATTTGTTGAACTATTTAGTGTAGCAGGGTTAATCTTAGGAGTTTCAAGTAAACTGAAAATATATCATTGTAAAAGTTGAGAGTGGGAACAGGAGAGGGAGGAGGAAGAACAGTTGGAGCATGGGTGGGAAGGAGGGTATAGTATCACCATGTTCCTAATCCGTATATATGAAATACACAAAATTTGTATACATTAAAATTAAAAAAAAGGAGAGAAATAAGGACATGTCTTAGTGGCTTCCTGGGTAGGGAGAAGAGTGGAAGAAAGGCTACACAATACTAGATGGTCTCCAGTGAAGACTCGCCACAGCGTTGCATTCATCTGGCACAGGCACAGGGAAAAGCAGCAGCCCGGCTATGAGCTGAGGGGATGAACTACCGAAAACAGCTGCCGCAAAACTCCGCAGCAAATGTAGTTCTCTGTACTCAACAGAATCTGTTGGAACTAGTAACAGAGGTAACTAGGGACCTGACACGTATAGCCCTGGCATCCTGGGTAAGATGGGAAGTCGGCTGTGTGGATAACTATGAATCCTAGAAAAATACACAGTCATAAACATTAGACCTGTGTCTATACAGTATAATGCATGGTTAACTGTGAACTATTAGCTTAATCTAATGTATACTGATTCTCAATATATTCAGAATATACAGTTCTGGTGACAGGTATTGATTCTCAATATATCCCATAAAATATTTCACAGACACACACATACACACACACACTCACACAAATGTCAAGTAGTATCTTCCGTGGCATTTACCTGAGGACGTAACGTGTGTGCCAAGTTGTCAAACCCGATATATTTTAGATATTTGGCTAATTTTTGCCTGTGTGTATTCTGTAACAATTCTGAGTACTTCTCGTGCAGTATGTGAATTCTCTTCATCATCTGAATTACCACATTTATATCTTTGGATTCTGCTTCTGTTGAAGTAAAATAATTGCACGACCTAAGTGAAGCAAGAGAGTGATAACAACCCACACTCTACCCCAGCGCTGACTTAATTTTAAGATTTTAAAGAAAGCATATTCACATGAACCACTCACAATAATCAAAGAACTCACAACTCCCAGTTCTGCATGACAATTAAAAGTGTGGGCTCCTAGATTCTAAAAGTGCTGCTAGACTTAGCAAGCGAAAAACAGGAAGCCTGCTTTGACAAAAACTACAGGGCACATATTCACAAAATTCATCACATACCTTAAATGCAAACTTAACGTGCCTTTTCTGACATAGAAACATGGCAAATTACTTCTCTCAGCCTTGTTTTCTTTCTCTGTATAATGGAGATATTAACCACAGGGCTCACCTCACATGGCTATTATCAAGATTAAACAAAATAATCTACATAAAATGATACAATAATTTCCTAAGAACATGACCATTCTATACTCTTTTATTACTCTTCTAATAATTACTTTTCTGTGACCACAATTAAGAGATAAATATTTTTTATCTTATCTCCAATCAAAATTGCTCATTCTTGGGCCTTCAGCCATGACACTGTGATTATATCCCAATTTATTACTTATTCAATTTGTGCATATAGATTGAAGTAAACTTTTCATTAAAAATGTTGCTGTGTCACTGACATTCAGGCACATAATTGGTTCTCCTAGGGCTTTACGTATTATATCAAGATAGGAAGCCTATCCCAAAGAATTGTGAGAATTTAACAATTTTGTGTGTGTGTGTGTGTGTGTGTGTGTGTGTGTGTGGTATTTGGCCAATAGCTGGCTATGAAGAACTGTCTGCTGCATTGACTTTTGAATTGACTCTTTCCACCAATGCCTTTCACACACAAACAACTGTGGATCCAACAAGAGGAAATCCTTCTAAGACTTCACAAGAGTTCCATAATCACAGAAGAATCAATGCCAGCTCTTTTGCTGTCCTTATTAATCTCTGATTTCAAGAAACTTCTAGAATTGATGTCCTTATATACCTGGTTTTAGACAGCATTCTTTCCATAATTTGAAACAGGCATCCAATCCAACCATTTCTGCAATAAATTTTACAGATTTAACAGCACATATCTGGAGAAAATCTTCTAGTCTTTTGATTCCAGAGTGAAGATTCTCTTTAATTTCTTTTTCAATAGAGAGAGACAAATTATTCCATCTCTCTTCCTCCTTTTTCTCTAGTTTAGCTAGTTGTCTCTTTTGATTTTCTTCAATAAGTTTTTCTGCATTTTTCTTCTAAAAAATAGAAATAAAATTAAATAAACATAAAAGCAATTGTTTCCAGATTAATACTTTTTATATTTGGAAGGAAATATTTAATATCTTGGACTATTAGTTTAGCATTCAGAGCACTTAAGGACATCAAATTGGACCTTTGGTGTTACAAAGAATTAAATGTAAATATCTTTTTTTATACACAAAGATGGTAATTGGCTATTCCTTTTCTCTATCTTCTCAGCTGCTAACCCCTTAGTCCATTATACTGAAAGCCAGTGTTTAGGCAGTCCAGATCTGTGCTGAGTCCAAGAAACACCCAGCAAAGGTCCAATTAGGATAAGTATCTTTTATATGACCAGACCAACTGGTAAAATTACAAAAACTCCCTGGGGTGTGACACATTGCACTGTATAGAAATCAAATACAACTCTTGTGCAGTGGTAGCCAAGAGAACAGGATATGATGAAAGCAGTTATGAATAGATAAAAATCAGACCTAAAATTGCAATAGCTGGAATACTGCTTGCAATGGAAAATGCCACCATGGCCATTCTCTGGCTAACTCTCTTGTCCAGTTCCCAGGGCACATCTTTACTTAGCCCAGCCTTCCACCCCCAGTATGGAAATACAGGCCATCTAAGAATATCTGAGCACTAGCAAATGACACCAGCTCCTCAGGGGAGTGCACACCCTACGCAAGAGGAGAAAGTATGCTTGCAGAGTACGGTCTACAGGATAACAGCCCGACGACTGCACTTCCTAAAGCACCAAAAATGAGCACTAAGAAAAATTTTTTAAGCAAATACAGAGGGGGCTTCAGAAATGCACCAAAATGTATATTATTTTTTAAAAAATGCTTGGATTTCAAAATTTTTGCACTGAAATAAAGTTATCTAATTTTATTTGAACATAAACTTTTCAATATCTATTAATTCAAACTTTATTTGAAAGGCAGAAAGATAGAAAGATGAAAAGAGATCTCCCATCTGCTGGTCCACTCCCCAAATGCCCACAATAGTCAGGGCTGGGCTGGGCTGGGCTGGGGTCTTCTATTTGAGTGGCATGGACCCCAGTGTTTGAGTCATCCTCTGCTGCTTCCCAGGGTGTGTGCTATCAGGAAGCTGGATGAGGAGCAGAGCAGCCAGAACTTGAACCAAGCACTCCAACACGGGATGCAGGCATCCCAAGCAGCAACTTTAGTACTGTGCCAAAGGCCCACTCTCCCACGGACTTTCTGAAGTTCCCTCATCATAGGGTTTAGCAGTCAATAAGCAAAATAATAATAACAATGGCAAATAGTAAAGGAGATAAAACAGAAAGTCACAGGGGAAGAAACACAAATAGACTAATACTCATATCACTGGTATTTGAATTTGCAATCAAAATCTCTTGTTGAGATGATGTTAAACAAAAAAGCAGGCACACTCACAGAATGATACTGGGTATCTCTGTGGTTAAACAGAAAAGAGCACCAGGGTTATAACAGTAAAATAATGCACACATATTAAAGATTAAAAAGGAAACACAGAAAAATAAACATGGAATATTATGCAAATATTAAAAGGGAAAGTTTATTGTTCACTCATTGCAATAAAAAGTTTTAGAAAGCACACTGTTTAATGGGAAAAAAAAGTATAAAGCCATATGTAAACTGTAAAACTGTGCGTGTTAGTAAGTGTGTATAGACTGGAAGTATTTGGAAGGATGTTCACCAAAGTTAATAGGACCAGGTCTTTGAAGAAGGTAAAATGTTAGTTATTTTTCACACTTTAAGTACCTTTCTGAATAGCCTGAATTAGCTGTGTGTGTGTCTGTGCTGGATTTTTCTATTAAAGTTGCTTAAAATTTGGGAAATAACATACTATTGTGAATTTATTGTATATTTAATGATACAGAAAGAAGTCAGCTATACTATTAGTAGATGTGGAATACATATAGAAAAAACAACAGACAATATAGGACTGCACAGGTGTATGCCAAAATAGTCATACAGTTACTTGTGGGACGTGAGAATGTGGATTTTTTCTTTTCCTTACTTGTTTTTCTATATTCCAACAAAGAAATAACTAAACAAACCACGACATTGCCATATTATGGAGGAGTATCCATCCACAAAATTATGTTGCAAAAGATGTTTAATAACACTGGAGAGAAGTGTGACTGAGGGAATTCACCAAAGCATTCCCAGTGCTCAATTCTATGATGGTCCCATTAGGATTTTGTTTTCTTCGTTACACCTCCCTTCATTTTCCCAGTGTTCTAAAAGGAGAATAAGGTCCTTTATCTGTTATAATTCATGGTTAGTACTTGGGAGTACTTTTTAAACAAAATAATTTTTTTTCTCCAATAACATGAGATTACCAGTGTTGCCATGCTGAGTAAAGTTAACGCAGGTCTCACAGGGTGGGAGTAGAGTCTCAAGACCCCCACAGCAATGAGCTCTGCTAGCCCAAGAACGCACCTGATGCTGTCTTTTCTTCTGCCCAGAAGAATTTGCTGGAGATGGCAGCGAGCCCACTTTTGTAATCCTTATTGATCTGTTACTTCCTACCAAAGACCTTCCAAACACATGATAAAAATGATACAGTTTCTGTGTATCTCTTCTTTCTTTGGCATCTTTGGATTTAGCTGAGGGAAATAAAGTTATTAAAATATCATGACTCTACTGTTGATATATAAAAGTTGCATTCCTAGAGCATTCATGAGAAAGGCTTTGACAAATCCCCTGAGAAACTCATAATATTCTAATTAGAGGCTATTACTATTACAGAGATTGAGATGTGGAAATGTAAGTAAATTATTGAACCATATTTAAATATCATGAGATGATCCAAATTAACATCTGTTCTTGGGGCTGGCATTGTGACTCAGAGTTAGTTAATCCACTGCTTGCAACACCAGCATCCCATATGAGCACCAGTACAAGTCCTGGCAGTTCCACTTCTGATCCCGCTTCCTGCTAATACACCTGGGAAGGCAGCTGAAGACAGTCCAAGTACTTGGGCCCCTGCCACCCATGAGGGAGATCCTGGTGGAGTTGCAGGCTCCTGGCTTTGGCCTGCCCCAGCCCAGCCGTTGTGGCCATTCGCAGAAAAAAACAGCAGATGGAAGATCCCCCCCACCCGTAACTCTGCTTTCAAATAAATAAAACACATCTTTTTAAAAATCACATCAGTTATTTACTTATTCATTTTATTACAACTACTAAGCATTATGGGTGCATCCCATAGAGTAAGTCGAGGGTGAGATATGACCTGCTTATCCTACAGCGCATCAAAGCCACAAAAGAAAACACCTGCTCTTGGACATGGTTGCTGTCTCTGGACACAGGATCAAAAACGAAGCACATGAGCACTGCATGAACTCGGAAACAGAGTTTCTGAAAACTATACCCAAATTTGGCCAGAAACATTTGGCTACAACCACTCAGCCAGATTCTTGCTCTAGGAGAGAATGGACTCTGGAAACAAGATGTCACCAGTTCCCAGACCACTCTAAGCCTGCGGCAGCGCTGAACTCAAAGGCGTTTGTCGCTGGCAACACCCATGGCCTCAGGGTGAGTGTCAGCAACTCACCCATCCACACCTACTACATATACCACGTCCTGAAGAAATTCAGAGGCCTGAGCAGGTGTTTTCGCCAGCTTTTTATCATTAGAACAAAATACCTGAGAAAACTAACTTCAGGGGGCCCCTGCACCCACGTGGGAGCCCTGGAAGAAGCTCCTGGCTCCCGGCTTCGGATCCGTGCAGCTCCAGCCACTGCAGTCACCTGGGGAGTGAACCAGCGGACGGAAGACCCTCTCTCTCTCTCTCTCTCTCTCTCTCTCTGCCTCTCCTCGCTCCAACTCTGCCTTTCAAATACATAAGTAAATCTTTAAAAAGAAAACTAACTTCAGGAAGAAAAAAGGATTACTCTGCATCACGCCCACATTGGGCAGCCCCATGGTTCAGGCCGTGCTGAGGGTCCAGGCAGGGAACGGAGCTCAGGTGGAGGAGGGTTGCAGGGCAGCTGAGCCAGGAAGCTACAGAGCAACGGGGGTCCAACCGGGCCCCAGCAACCAACCCCGCTGAGAACCACCGTCGGAAGGCAGCCCCACGCCCTCAGCATCATCACTGCATTAAGCGGGCACATCCGGTTCAAACCACAGCTCCGTTCTCCCTCTAACTCCCCGACTGCTCTGAGGCCGTTCCTGGGACCACTCTACGAGAACTGAATGGAAGATGCCAGAAGCCAGGAACGCAGTTCCAGCTGCTCAAGGCCCCAGCGGGCCACCCAGCCACGGAGCGCACGACGAAGGTGGAAGCAAAAATCCTTCCCCTTAAACATGTACCTGAGCGCCGGGCTCACCCGGGCAGACGTTTAAGCAGCCTCCCCTTGCTCTTTGGTTCTGGGAAAGACGAAACCGCTAGCGCCTCACCGACTTGTCTGACGTCACTGGGGCTCTCGGGCTGCTTCGGTCACCAGCCCTTCCCACTTCCGGTCACAGCCCGCCTCACTTCCGGTCACAGCCTGTTCCACTTCCGGCAGGACTCTCCTCATGGTTCGGGTGTGGCTAGAGTCGCCCCCAGTCCTCCCGGCGGACACCTGGACACCTCCCTCCCTGCCTTTTGCTCCCAACTGTACCACTCCCTAGAATTTTCAGTAAGGACCTCTCTCATGGCTGCTCTCATCCCGCCTCTCCCTCTGCCCTAGGAGTGCTACAAGACCAAGTCCAGAGCCCAGCACAGAGCCAAGGACAGGGACAGGGCACGCCTGAATTCAGACACTGAATACATCCAGAGATTGGCAGCACCAGTCAGGCCGCTAGTGTCCACGCCCTGAGGAATCATACTTATGCGTCATTGGTCTTTTTCTCTGTATGTATCTGTGTATACACACCTCTATCCATTTTCCTCACCAGTTTGAAATCCAAGAAGACAAGTTTACAAACTATATTGGTTCATGGTGTCTTACCACCCAAAATAATTCTTTGGTGATTTAAATATTTTTTATTAATGAATACAGTTATGAACCCATGTTTTATAACAAGTAATAAATACAATTATTAATTTTGGCAATTACAACACTATGTACCTGATTAATATAAACACCAGGTCCTGTGAAACAATACAGTGGGGATTTTTATGCAAACCAGCAAAGAACAAAAGGAATTTCAACAATAACATATAAAGTAACTATTGTAACAATCTAAGAAAATTAGAAAGCTAGACACAATGACTTGGCTGCACACAATGACTTTTTTCCCCTCAATGGATTTATGAGAATTTTTCATCCTACAGAAACTAGCTTTTGCCCATTTCTGTATCTGCAAGCCACTGGAAGTGCATACAGTGGTAGAGAGAGAGGAGACTGTAAGTGAGACGTCACTATCCCCAGATGAGTAATTTTTCCCTTCTACACATGATGCTTGTTTAAACAAGGAAACTGCTGGAAACATTCCCTAGTATGAATTATACTCACCACTATCGCTGTTTCTTGTCCTTTCAAAATCATCACTTAGAGGTCGAGAGGAATGCCAATGTTTGAGCTCATCAAACTCTCTCTTCTTAGAAAGACAGGTGATAGCTGGGTCATCACTGTGGTGGGAGGGAGGGAGTATAATTTAGAAAACACATGTGTAGGTCAGTGTTCAACTAAGACCCCACTTGAGATGCTTATATCCCATACCCAGGCACCTCGGTTTGTGTCCCAGCTCCCATTCTGATTGCAATTTCCTGCTAACCCACAATGGAAGGCAGCTGATGATGGGTCAAGTATACTTATGGGAGACCTGGATTGGATTCCAAACGCCTTGCTTCCACCTGGCCAACCCCTGGTGTTGCAGGCATTTGGGGGGTGAATTAGCAGAAGGAAGATCTCTCTCTCTCTCTTTCTCTCTCTCTTTCTCTCTCTGTGTGTGTGTGTCTCCCTCTCTAACTTTCAAATAAATAAATAAATCTTTTTTAAAAAAGCAGCGTTTTTATTTGTGTGTATGTATGTGTATTTGTGTAATATTTCAAACATAGAGAAAATATTAGAGAATAAATGATAACCATGAATCTACCATGCATTCATTCATAAGACATCCATTAAGTCCTAATTATATGCCAGAAACTCTTATGGATGCTAAGAACATATCGACGTACAAAATAGAATAAAAATCTCTTCAATGAGTGTTTATTTATTTATTTTATTTGAAAGGCAGAGAGACAGACAGACAATGTGCCCACCACTGGTTACTCCCTACTGGCTGGGGCTGGCCCGGGCTAAAGCTGGGAGCCAGGAATTTAATCCAGCCTCCCACATGGGTATCAGGAATTCAACTACCTGAACCATCACTGCTGTCTTTCAGGGTGCACAGAAACATGGCACCAGAATCGGGAACAGAGCCAGGAAGTGAATCTAGGTGCTCCTAGAAGCACAGGAGCATGTTAAACACTAGGCCAGACATGAGCCCTGTACAGAGTTCATGTATTCAGAGACTGACAGACAATAAAGAAATGCAAAGGTAAAATACACACTATGGTAGATGGTGCATGATACAGATTAAAAATCACACAGAGAGACAGAGGAGGAGGAGGAGAAGGTGCCACTTTAAGCAGAGTGGTGAAGAATGCCTGGCTGAGAAGCTATGGGAGCAGAGGGTACAAAGTTGTCTGGCTCAGAACATTGCCAACCAACAGAAACACAGGCAGAAAGGCTGTGAGGGGGCCAACGCAGTGGCGCAGTGCCAGCATCCCATATGGGGGCCGGTCCAAGTCCTGGCTGCTCCACTTCCGATCCAGCTCTCTGCTGTGGCCTGGGAGAGCAGTGGAGGATGGCCCGGGTGCTTGGGCCCCCGTGCCTGCGTGGGAGACCCGTGGGAGGCTCCTGGCTCCTGCCTCCACATCAGCTCAGCTCTGGCTGTTGCAGTCCTTTGGAGGTGAACCATCAGATGGAGGGCCTCTCTCTCTCTCTCTCCCTCCCTCCCTCCCTCCCTCTCTTTCTCTCTGGCTCTACCTCTCTGTGACTCTGTCTTTCATATAAATAAAATAAATCTTAAAAAAAAATAGAAAGGCTGTGAGCTGGGAGAGCAATTGTGTACAAGGAACAGCCGGGAGGCCAGCCTGGAGGAGTACTCAGAGGGGGACAGATTAGGCTCAAATGAGGTTAAGGGGGCAGGGAGAGTAAGACAGAGGACAGAGCAGCAGATCCTGGAGTCCTTTCCATCTGAGGGAGTCAGGCTCCTTAGCAGGTTTGAGCAGGGAGAAACAAACTGATCTCTCCCCGCAGTGCATGTTTGGACACCACTGTGAAGAGATCACTTGGGGTGATGGGGGGCCGATCTCACAGCTACAGGGTGAGCAAGGAAGGCCAGGCTCTGGAAGCATCTTGCAGGAACAGATTTCGCTGCCAGATTAGATGAGAAACAGAAAGGGAAGTCAAGGACATCGCCAAGGATGATGAGAAAAACATGGAGAGAGAAGAGAGAATGATAGAGACGCACGGAGGGACCTCTAGGTGCCTGTGAGGTCAGTGGGCGCTGGCATTGCACACAGTGAGTTTACAGGGCACAGGAGACAGCAACTGAGAGCAGATTCAAGATACGAGTCACGGGGTCAGTGCCGTGGGGCAGCGGGGTAAAGCCGCCGCCTGCAGGGCCAGCATCCCATAATGGCGCCGGTTCAAGACCCAGCTGCTCCACTTCCGACCCATCTCTCTGCTGTGGCCCGGGAAAGCAGTGGAAGATGGCCCAAGTGCTTGGGCCCCTGCACCTGCATGGGAGACCCGGAAGAAGCTTCTGGCTCCTGGCGTCAGATCAGCCCAGCTCTGGCCATTTGCAGCCATCTAGGGAGTGAACCAGTGGACGGAAGACCTCTCTCTCTCTCTCTCTCTCTCTGCCTCTGCCTCTCTGTAATTCTGCCATTCAAATAAATAAATAAATCTTAAAAAAAAAATACATGAGTCACAGAATTTTCAGCCAATTCTTATCTGGTAGCTGGAGTTAAGAATTTGATACTTGCGACAGTTCATCCTCAAGTCATGAGATTGGTTGACCAAGGAGATGGCAACTCATTTTGATAACTGATAATTTTTTTCCAGGTTTGTTTCAGATTTCATTGATTTTAAAAAAAATAAGGGTTGGCGCTGTGGCTCACTTGGTTAATCCTCCGCCTGTGGCACCGGCATCCAATATGGGCGCCAGGTTCTAGTCTCAGTTGCTCCTCTTCCAGTCCAGCTCTCTGCTGTGGCGCAGGAAGGCAGTGGAGGATGGCCCAAGTGTTTGGGCCCCTGCACCCGCGTGGGAGACCAGGAGGAAGCACCTGGCTCCTGGCTTCAGATCGGGCACAGCTCTGGCCATAGCGGCCATTTGGGGAGAGAAACAACGGAAGGAAGACCTTTCTCTCTGTCTCTCTCTCTCATTGTCTAACCCTATCTGTCAAATGAAGAAAGAAAAAATAAACCACTGTAGATATATTTGAAGCCCCTTATATATTTCTCAGAAATTCCATTCTTCTCTTTTTTTATGTTTATGTCTTTTTTTTTTTTTTTTTGCCTTGAAAGAATCAGAGAGCGAGAGACAGAGACAAGAGACAGAGATAGAAAACAATCTTCTATCCACTGGTTTTCTCCTCAAATGCCCACACAGCCAGGGCTGGGCCAGGCCAAAGCAAGGAGCCAGAACTCCATCCAGGTCTCCCAAGTGGGTGGCAGGGACTCATGGACCTTAACCATCATCTGCGGTCTCCCAGGATGCACATTAGCAGGAAGCAGGATTGGAAGTGGAGTGGCCGACCCTTGAACCAGGCACTCTGATTGCAGGCATCCCAAGTGGTGAGTTAAGCTGCTGCATCAAAGACTACCCCTCATTCTCTCTTCTAAGAAGCAGCTTCTTCCTTATATGTATATCATGCCCATGCACGATATAAATGTGCATACATTACAAGTAGTGTGCCCCTGGCCGGCGCCGCAGCTCAATAGGCTAATCCTCCACCTAGCGGCGCCAGCACACCAGGTTCCAGTCCGGTCAGGGCGCTGGGTTCTTTCCCGGTTGCCCCTCTTCCAGGCCAGCTCTCTGCTGTGGCCCGGGAAGGCAGTGGAGGATGGCCCAAGTGCTTGGGCCCTGCACCCCATGGGAGACCAGGAGAAGCACCTGGCTCCTGCCTTTGGATCAGCGCGGTGCGCTGGCCGCAGCGCGCCAGCCATGGCAGCCATTGGAGGGTGAACCAATGGCAAAAGGAAGAAAAGACCTTTCTCTCTGTCTCTCTCACTATCCACTCTGCCTGTCAAAAAAAAAAAAAAAAAAAAAAAAAAAGTAGCGTGCCCATAAATGATATGAGAGTCACAACATTCTCTAACTTACTTAGCTACATAAGCAGTGTGGTTTGGAAATTCACCCGTGTGGATGTGTGCATGGCTGTGTGTATATGTATGTGTATGCAGTTATTTATTTTTACTGTGGAGTACTGCATTGTAAGAATATCCCACTACTGGGGCAGGCATTTAGCCCAGCGGTTAAAACACCCACATTGGAAATCCCCGGATTCGATTCCTGGCTCCAGCTCCTGACTCTGGCTTCCTGTAAATGCAGACACTGGGTGGGCAGCAGCCCAGTCCAAACCCAGTTATTGCAGGCATCTGGGGAGTGACTCAATAGAGGAGAGCTGTGTGTGTGTGTGTGTGTGTGTGTGAGAGAGAGAGAGAGAGTCTCTCTCTGTTTCTTTCTCTGTGTGTCTGTGTCCGCCTCTCAACAAATATTTTTTAGTTTATATTCTGTTCCACAATATTCTTTTCCTTGTTCTACAGATGGGTTGCATCTATATAAACAATCCTGCAGTGACACTGATGCAAACTCACCTCACTCAAACATCAGAGTTTCTCCAGGGAAGCTGCAGATTGCGGACACAGCACATCTTGAACCTGTGTAGCTTTTACTGGTTCTGTTTCTGCCACCAGCGTGCCCACTGCCTCAGACCTTTGGCCTTACTTAGTCATAAATTTTATCAAAAGGAAGAGTGTTGAATAGGGCCTCGCTGTAGCTTTAATTTTCATTTCTTAGATGCACAAGGACCTTTAGATATCTTTTTACAGTTTTACGGGCCATTCCCCACTAGCTTCTCTATTAATGACCTATTTCTCCCTATTCCTATTTCTCTACTGTCTCATTCCTGTCTTTCTCATGAGTTCTAGGACATCTTTATCCTAAATCTTTTATGCTAACCCTGTGATGCTTATATACCTTCTAAATGACTTCCAAAATCTGTTTTGTTATTATTGATTTTTATAATGTCAAATGTATCCTTATTTTCCTAATGACTTGGAGTTTTATACTGTCTTTGAAGGCCATGACGTCTCTACTCTGGCACCATAAAGATATTTTCCTGTATTGTCTTCTGAAAATGTGACTGTTGTCTTTCACATTTAGATTTCTGACCACCAAGATTTGACTTATGGCATGGTGTTATGTACAGAGAGACTTTGATTTTTTATAAATATAGATATTTTAAAACATACCATTTGCAAAGTAATTTGCTACTTTCACAGGATTTGCTTTATTCTGTCTGCCATATACACATTTACATTTGGAATTTTTTCTGCTTCCTTTGTTATCTCTTCAGTTTGGCTAATTTTTCAACCAATTATCCTCTTACTCTCGGGCCTTTAATACACTTAACTGCTGTCTCAAGAACACCGTCCCCACCTCTACAACACGGAAACCTATGCCTCCAATGTGACACTGACAATTCTAGCAAATAAAGGTGTGGAACAACCTTACTTCATGTTAACTCCAATAATCCTGGCCAGCGCTGTGGCATAGCAGGTAAAGCCACCATCTGCAGCACCGGCATCCCATAAGGGTGCCGGTTCCAGTCCCAGCTGCCCCACTTCTGATCCAGCTCTCTGCTGTGGCCTGGGAAAGCAGTGGAAGATGGCCCAAGAGCTTGGGTCCCTGTACCCGCATGGGAGACCTGGAAGAAACTCCTGGCTTCTAGCTTCAGATTGGTGCAATTCCACCCATTGCAGCCATCAGGGGAGGGAACCAGCAGATGGAAGACCTCTCTCTCTCTCTCTCTCTCTCTCTCTCTCTCTCTCTTCCCCTCTGCCTCTGCCTCTCTGTAACTCTGCCTTTCAAATAAATAAATTAATTTAAAAAAAACTCCAACAACCTTCTCTGCTGAATCACCTTGTCACAGGCGCCACCAGCCCCTCCCCCAGGACCTCACCTACTCCCCAAATCCCTCCCCTTTTGTGCTGCGGCTAACGTAACCAAAATCACAATCACCACAGAACTGCCCGGAACCTATGACTGCTGACCATACCCACAACCAGTTACAATGACATCACTGCTGACACTTCACTCCCTCCACGTGCCTGACACCAGACTCTTCCAAGACTTCCTAAAAAGGCAAGTAAATGGGAGGTGCCCAAATATTGACTCTCCCCCTACCCCTGGAAAACCCTGCCCCACATAACACCTCCTAAGAATATTCTATCCTTCCCATCTCTCAAGTTCATCTAAAAGAGGTAACTCAAACCTGGCTGGGTGCAGCTCACTCTCAGGTACACCTGCGCTTCCTGTTGAGTGTGTACTTTCACTTTATGGATAATCAGTCTTATTCCTCTGCCAACCTTTACTCACATCTAAAGATCAAATTCTTTCTTGCATTACAGATAAGAACCTGAACCCAGCCACCCAACAATTCTCTTTGTCACCTCCTTGTTCTCACTGATCATTCTTGCTGACTTTAAGATCCACATAGATGATGTATCCAACATCAGGCCTTGAATTTTTATGGTCTTGCTACAGCCACACCTCAACAACCCACTGCTTTCATTATACTATTAATTATGCTGACATTATTATGGAGAAAAAGGTAAAGATATGTAAGCGGTGTAGAGTCATTTAAAGCAAACACATAAATGTTTTTAAAATCATACCAATCAATCAAGTTGAAAAAAAAGTATCTCTCAATGTGAATTTTCACCACATACAATAGATGCAGTCCACCATACTCAAAGATATTTGGCATTGTAATCCATAAGCTGTACTTTGGAAATTTATATTCATTAAATAAAAGTTTAAAAAAAAGATATTTGGTTACAGCCACAGAGCTATTACAAGCAAGATAAATACCTGCTTACAAAAGGTAGTTCGGACCAAATATCTCCAGCGTAATCTTCTATAACCTCGGATTTCAGAGGAATTAGTCCAAGCTTGGGAATTTCTTGATTTGATCCTGGCAATATTCAGAAATACAATTGATATTTGAACACTAAACTCTAATTAAAATTCACCATTCTGATGCAGGCATTTCTGCAATAGCAAAACTAAGCCTAAGTAATCTAAGTAATCTCTCATTACCAAATAAATAGAAACTGAATAGAATTTCTACAAAGTAGACGTTCAAATCACATTTCTGCTCCACATATTAAGCCACAAATGTAAATACTCATAGGTGTAGATTTCAAAATCTTGCAAAATGTAAGTTTGTTTTAAAATTCCATTTTCCATTAACTATTTAAAGTGTGAGGATACTAAAAGATAAGTTCATTTTGGTGCAAAGTTGTTTGAAATCCCACATAGTTTTTCCCTAATACTCATTTTCCATTAATTTTTTTGAAAGCTCCTCATATCTGAATGGAGTTAGGTAGAATTTATTTTAAGAGTCAAAGAATCACTATGTAACCTAGAAAAGACAAATATTTATTCTAGACCACAGAAAGATCTCTGCTTATTTTTCCATAGGTCAAACCAAGAGAAATAAATTTGTTTAATAAAAATGTTTTAAATTTAAACATCGGTACCAACAAAATGCATTAATTTATTTCCACATCTTGGGCTAGCGAAAATTCAAAAGAACTTTTGTATATTTCATTCAACTCCCAAACCTTTTTCTGCATGAATGGACTCATCTGATGTGTCAATCACAACACCTTAAGACCTATTTAAATTTAAGCTACTTCTTCATAGAGCTTTAGGGAAAAAGTTGCCTTTGGTAAAAAAAAGTAGTAAAGCTATGACAACGTTTTCTGTACCTGACTACGGAGACAGACAGACACGGATTCAAATCCTCTCTCTTCCATGAATTTGCTGTGTGATCTACAACAACCTTCCCAAGATCTTACCTCTAAAATGAGATTGATAATACCACCAGCAAGGTTGATTGGGAAACCAACTAGAAAAATAAATAAAAACAATCGCAAGGCAAAGGAGTTGCTAGAGGAGTAGAAGCTATTCAGTATGACTATCCCAGCCAAAAGGCAAAACTTATAAAGACCAGACCTATTTTCTAAACAAGGATTGCACTGCTAATCTCTTTCCATCTGGAATGAGATTCACTTTTAAAAAACTACTGGGGCTGGCACTGTGGTGCAACAAGTTAAAGCTGTTTGCAACATCAGCATCTCATGAGTGCTGTTCCAGCTGCTCCACTTCTGATCCAGCTCCCTGCTAATGCTCTTGGAAAAGTAACAGAAGATGTCCCAAGTGCTTGGTCCCTGTCACCTCAGTTGGAGACCTGGATGGAGTTTCTGACTCCTCGCTTCAGCCTGGACCAGCCCAGTGGTTGCAGCCATTTGGAAAGTGAAAAAGCAGATGGAAGATCTCTCTCCTCTCCCTCTCTCTCTCTCTGTGCCATTTTGTCTTTCAAATAACAAGCAAATCTTTTCTAGCAAACTGCCAGCACCTTTAGGCAATGTTTCCTTCTGTGTAAGGAACAGTCTGGAAGTTGTCCTCACGGGCATGGAGTCTCCAAAGTCACCACCCTCTGACAAAGCTAACGTTGTGTTCCACAGCTTGTGATATGCGTGCATCAGAGCGTCACCCAATTCCAAGTCCAGTCCTAGGGAGGAGAAGGTAACAGATTCCAATTCATAATCAAAGTCTGAATTTATGTGTTACAGGTGTCTGAGTTATTCAAGTTTATAGTTACTAGCTTCTAATGTTAGATGCTTAATGCAGGACAGAATATGATATTTTCATTACGTACTCAATATTTGAAGACTGCTAGAGCAAAAATAAAATTGATACTGCTATTGTTATATTTTTCTGCCACAAAAAAAAGCAGGGAGCAGCATTGTGGCACAGTGGGTCAAGCTGCCACTTGTAATACTGGCATCCCATCCTGGACACCTGTGATACTGGCATCCCATATTGGAGCACTAGTAGGAGTTCCGGCTGCTCTGCTTCCCATCCAGCCTCCTGCTAACACTCCTGAGAAAGGAGCAGATGATGGTCCAAGTGCTTGGGCCCCTGCCACCTGCATGGGAGATCCAGGTGGAGCTCCAAGCTCCTGACTTTGGCTGGGCCCAGCCCTAACCATTGTGGCTATTTGGAGAGTGATCCAGCATATGGAAGACACACACACACTCTCTCTCTCTCTCGCTCTCGCTCTCACATGCACACATGAGTGAGCATCCTTCAGAAAATGCTCCAAGCTGGTACGCCACTTCAGTTTCCATGGGAACAACATCTTATCTGAAGCAGCCAGCAGCAAAGCTACATTGTCATTTTCCAACACATACACAAAATCTGGTGTAGGAGGGTTCTTCAAAAACTGTATGGAAAAATGGAATTAAAATTTGATTCTGGTGCAAAAAAAATTGAAATCTATGCATAAGGTGTTCTTCATACTCATTTTCCACAAAGTTTTTGGAGATTCCAGAAATTTTTATACCAAAATCAACTTATTTTATTATACTTTACTTCTTGCATTTTTAATTAACATGCAATACTTGCACACCATTATGGTGCATGGTGCAATATTTCAACAGTGAAAGCTAATCAAATCGGGAAATCAGCATGCCCACCTCCAGCTCCTCTCCACACTGTGCAATGCATTATTATGGGCTACGGTCTCTCCCTGTGCTGTGCAACACTAGGACCAGTTACTTCTGTCTAGTGGGGTTTTAGACCCTATAGCCAACCTCCCTCTAATTCCCTCCCTCCATCCCCTCCAAGCACTACTGGTCACTATTCTAAGTTCAGATAGTCTCTTTTTTCTTTTCCTTCCACATAAGAAAGAAGATGTGGCATTTAATTCCATTATCCATGAACACTTTGAAGCACCTCATATGGAAGACACAGAATAAATTACAACTCCGTAGTTCCTTTCCATTTATCTTCCTTTTTTTCCCCAAGTAACTAATCAATTACCCCATAATTATTCAAAAAAAAAAAAAAAAAACCCTCTTATAAAGACCTCTCAACTGAACCTTGTGAAAATACAGACTTTCCAGGCCGGCGCCCGCGGCTCACTAGGCTAATCCTCCACCTAGTGGCGCCGGCACACCGGGTTCTAGTCCTGGTCGGGGCGCCGGATTCTTTCCCGGTTGCCCCTCTTCCAGGCCAGCTCTCTGCCTGTGGCCAGGGAAGGCAGTGGAGGATGGACCAAGTGCTTGGGCTCTGCACCCCATGGGAGACCAGGAGAAGCACCTGGATCCTGCCTTCGGATTAGTGCGGTGTGCCGGCCACAGCGCCAGCCGTGGCAGCCATTGGAGGGTGAACCAATGGCAAAGGAAGACCTGTCTCTCTCTCTCACTATCCACTCTGCCTGTCAAAAAAAAAAAAAGAAAGAAAGAAAGAAAGAAAGAAAGAAAGAAAGAAAGAAAGAAAGAAAGAAAGAAAGAAAGAAAATACAGACTTTCCACAGAAAATATCTTCAGGGTGGTTGGCCAGCATCCCACATGGGCGCCAGTTCAAGCCCCAGCTGCTCCACTGCCAATCCAGCTCCCTGATACTGGCCTGGGAGAAGCAATATAAGATGACCCAAGTCCTTGGGCCCCTTCCACCCACACGGGAGATCCAGAAGAAGCTCCTTGCTCTGGGCTTCAGCCTGGCCCAGACCTGGCCATTGCAGGCATCTGGGGAGGGAACCAGGGAACCAGTGGATAGAAAATGTTCTCTTTCTCTCTCTCCCTCTTTCTCTCCCTCTATAACTCTGACTTTCAAATAAATACATCTTTTTAAAAAAAACATATCTTCAGAGAAACTTTTTATGTAATTCAACCTAATTGATGCATGACTAACCCACTGTCATTATTTATTAGATACAATTCTCATTCAGGCATGGACAATGAATTTAAAAAACTATTTAATGAATAGCTATTTAAAACATACCTCTGTGATACTCAATTTCATAATAATAAGCAATATTTTTCCATAAAATATTATCAGTTAAGTCAGGGAGGCCGGTGAAATCCACACTCCAATTATTTGTAACTTTTAATTGTTTTAGGATGAGAAATTCACATTGTTTTAGCTGGAAAAAATACAAAAGGACAAAAGAGAGAGAGGAACAGGTGTTAATGATATAAAATCTTCCAAAAATGTGACTGTGTCAATTAAGTTTCCCTGAGCATCATCTACTCCTTGTACAAAGACGAAGGACATACAGTGAAGACCAAGAGCTTAGAGCCAGTTACCTTCTTCCGGTCCATCCCACTGCAAAATAACAAGGGCAATATCCAAGGGGTCTTCAAAAAGTTTGTGGAAATTCACGATACCTTGTAGTTCCATGAAATTTTTAAAAAATATTTATTTATTGTGCTCGCTTCAGCAGCACATATACTAAACTATTTATTTATTTATTTATTTGAAAGGCAGAGTTACAGAGAGGCAGAAGCAGAGAGAGAGAGAGAGAGAGAGAGAGAGAGAGAGAGAGGTCTTCCATCCACTGGGTCACTCCCCAGATGGTCACAATGGCTGGAGCTGCACCAATCCAGGAGCCAGGAACTTCTTTCAGGTCTCCCACGTGGGTGCAGGGGCCCAAGCACTTGGGTCATCTTCTACTGCTTTCCCAGGCCACAGCAGAGAGCTGGATTGGAAGTGGAGCAGCCAGGACTTGAACCGGCATCCATATGGGATGCTGGCACTGCAGGTGGCAGCTTTACCTGCTACACCACAGTGCCAGCCCCTTTCCATGAACTTTTTGAAATAACCGTGTATAACCTTTGAGGTATTTTTCAGTGCTAACATTAATTTTTTCTTCTGAACTCATCCCAATCATAATTTCAATAAATACTTCCTCATTGATTCGAACTAATAAATATATAAAAGTAGTGGGCATTTAACTGCTTTACTACAGATTTACAATTAAAAGTTGTTTATGGTATCATTTCAAGAGTTAGGTCTATGGGGCCTTTACTAGGCATCCCATATGGGTGCTGGTTGAAGTCTCAGACACTCTTTCTCCAATCCAGTTCCCTGCTGATGCACCTGGGAAAGCAGTGGAAGATGGCTGGCTTAAGGGCCAACACACTGTGGCGCAGTGGGTTAAAGCCCTGGCTTGAAGCACCGGCATCCCATATGGGCACCTGTTCGAGTCCCGGTTGCTGCTCTTCCGATCCAGCTCTTCGTTATGGCCTGGGAAAGCAGTAGAAGATGGCCCAAGTCTTTGGCCCTTGAACCCACGTGGGAGACCCAGAAGAAGCTCCTGGCTTCAGTCTGGGCCAGCCCCCACCATTGTAACCATTTGGGGAGTGAGCCTGTGGAAGAAAGATCTCTCTCTCTCTCTCTCTGCGGCCATTTGGGGAGTGAACCAGTGGATAGAAGACCTCTCTCTGTGTCTCTACCTCTCTCTGTAATTCTGTCTTTCAAAGAAATAAAATAAATCTTAAAAAAGAAGCGAGATCGACCGGCGCCGCGGCTCACTAGGCTAATCCTCTGCCTAGCGGCGCCGGCACACTGGGTTCTAGTCCCGGTTGCCCCTCTTCCAGGCCAGCTCTCTGCTGTGGCTAGGGAAGGCAGTGGAGGATGGCCCAGGTACTTGGGCCCTGCACCCCATGGGAGACCAGGAGAAGCACCTGGCTCCTGCCTTTGGATCAGCGCGGTGCGCCGGCCGCAGCGCGCCAGCCACGGCGGCCATTGGAGGGTGAACCAACGGCAAAGGAAGACCTTTCTCTCTGTCTCTCTCTCTCTCACTGTCCACTCTGCCTGTCAAAAAATAAAAATAAAAAATAAAAATAAAAATAAAAAAAAAGAAGTGATATCACAACTAACTACATAAAAGCATCAAACTGTGCTAAGTACAAAAAACCAAGGTTTTCAAATTTTCCTAAATTTCCTAAGAACTTACAAAGGACTTTTGTATTCCCATCGTCTCTGTTTCAACTGGCTACAAAGTGTGAAATGCAATGAATGTAAACTCTTTATTCATTACTTCACTATTTATATAATACTCATTAGAGTTGTTTTCTTCAGTGTGGGGGTTGTTTTATACTAGGGAGGACTACATTTTTGTATGGAGTGCTTTTATCTAGGACTCAGTTTTTCAAGGAAACATGCATTGTTTGTTGGTAGCCATGTTGAAGATGGATACAGGAAACAAAGAACCTTTTAAGATGACTATAAAGGGCCGGCGCCGAGGCTCACTAGGCTAATCCTCTGCCTTGCGGCTCCGGCACACCGGGTTCTAGTCCTGGTCGGGGCGCCAGATTCTGTCCCGGTTGCCCCTCTTCCAGGCCAGCTCTCTGCTGTGGCCAGGGAGTGCAGTGGAGGATGGCCCAGGTGCTTGGGCCCTGCACCCCATGGGAGACCAGGAAAAGCACCTGGCTCCTGGCTCCTGCCATCGGATCAGCGCGGTGCACCGGCCGCAGCGTGCCGGCCGCGGCAGCCATTGGAGGGTGAACCAACGGCAAAAAAGGAAGACCTTTCTCTCTGTCTCTCTCTCTCACTGTCCACTCTGCCTGTCAAAAAATAAAAAAAAAAAAATTAAAAAAAAAAGATGACTATAGAAAGCAAAACAGTATCAGTAGAGACACAGGATTGCACCGTCCAAGTTTTGCCTTATTGAATTTTGAGCGCTTATGAATTTCCAGGTGGTTCACTTACCATTCTTAGAAATGGAGAAAGTGTTGCATCCCATTTGTGAGTAATGATTCTACTCTTAGCTCTTTGGATCAGAGGTAAATGCTGAAGGAAAATCACACTGAGACAGTACATTCGGCACAGGTCTGCTGCTTCACTGAGTGTGGGTGCCTCCTTCAAATCCTGGAAAAACATGAATTTTTAAAATGTCCACTTGCACAGGCAACATAAAAACTCAGATACAAAGGTGGGCCTTTGGTGCACGGGTTGAGTCTGCTTGGACACCTACATCCCGTAACAGGTGTCTAGGATGGAGTCCCAGCTTTGCTTCCAAGACCAACTTCCTGCTAACGCCCAACCTCCTAACGTTAAGACCCCAGGTGATGACTGCCACTCAGCTGGGAGAACCACACTGAGATCAGAGCCCTGGCTTCAGCCTGGCCCAGTCCTGCTGTTGTGGGCATTTGAGAAATTAATTGGCAGATGGGCTCGCTTGCACTTGCTCGTGTTCTCTCTCTGCTCTCCCTTTCAAATAAATAAAAACAAAGAAAGAAAAAATTTTAAAGAGAAAAATACAAACAAGAAGTCAAATTTTCTTGAAAAAATTCAGACATGCAGTAACAGTATTTTAAGGCACCTTACCCAAAATTCTCCCATGTGACGATTTAATTCTTTTGGGGGTAATTTTATCTCTAGAAAAATTCTACTAAGCATGTGATGGATGAAAAACAACACAACTAGCTGTGTTGCCTAGGAGTGAAAGCTTTGCCTAATACATGAAGTTCTGAAATTCACTGTATCTAAACCTTGCATTTGATAAAATGGTAGTGGATGGCCTCTGTTTAAGGACATGTCCAGCATCTAGTTATTCATGTCCTCAAAAGCAGAAGTACCAGGGGTTGCAAAAAAGCTGCTTCTTGTCACACCTGTTCCTGTGTAGAACCAGGGCTGAGCACGGCTGTGCTCTATATGGTAAAGCAACGTAGCAGAACAGAAAAGGAAAAAATGGGTTGCATCCCAGCTCTGCCCCCGAGTAGCTGTTTGACTTTTACTTACCATGTAGTAGACCACCAAGAACAGTAAAAAGTTGGTGACTGTATGCCCACTACAGCAAGGATTGACAAGTAATTCAGACTCTACTAGCTCACTACTGTTACAAATAGGAGCAACCTTATCATTACAGAAAACGTGATGCTGAGCCACAAAGTGGACAGTGGGCTCATCATCAGGTCCCACTGCCTATCGCTTTGACAAATGCTAACTTCTGTGCAATGTCACCACGTATGCATTGAAACTGGCCCAGGAGATTGCAAGCAGCAATGATGACCAGCTCTGAGCCAGGGGACAGAAGATATGTGTCCTGTGATCAGAGATGAAAGAGGTGACAGATTCATCTCAACTATCTTATAAAGAATCTTGCCAGCTTTCATAAGAATGAGATCATAATGATATCTCCATGCTTAGCCAGCAAACATATGATCCACACGTCGTATTTTCTGTTTGACCTTGAGCTTATGCATAGGGCCACCACCCACAAGCGCTGTCACATCATCAAAAGTGGCATGAGACAGGCTCATTGGTTTTGAAGGAGTCTCACCTGTGTATCACAGTTTTCTGTGTATGTGTTTGGGTTTCCACGGTCTTCTAAATCTAGTAACATTTTTTTGTAGAGCTTTAGTGCCACCGAGCATGAAACGGAGCAGACAACACCTCGGATTTCAGCTCCTTGTGGCCACAGGTCCTGAAGCAAGGACAGGGTTTGATGCACCTGAAATAGAACACTTTGTCAAAAAAACAGTGATTCCAAGAAACAAGATTCAAAGCTGACATAGTAATTAATTCTAGAAAAATACTGAAAGTTTATCTTTCAAAAACTTAAAGAAAAACATATAAGATAGGCCTGCAGAATTTGGAAAATGATGCTGAGCCATATTTCATAAGGTCCTAAGTGACATTTTAATATTAATAACTTTCTCCTGCTGATCTACAGGCCATGGCAAATCCACAGGTCTCTGTGTGATTAACCTGTGGATTCTTCAGTGTTGTCAGCCCAGACACTTGCCAGGGGCCAGTGAAGACACTGAGATGCATGGCATACACACTGCTAACGATCAACAGCTCTGCTCCCATAAACTGATACGAACGACTGCTACCAAAGGCGTGATCACGAGAACCCTTGTATTTTGGGGAAAGTTGCAAAGGCGCGATAATCACAGCGCTCAGCAAGAGATGCAGACAGGAGCAGACGGGGGCGATGGAGACAAGATGTTTATCTGAGTCCGTGGTGAGGCATCAGGATTTGAACCAGGAGACGCAACACCTCCTAAAAGCTCGAAACAGTCATTGAACAAGTCACCTGGTCTCAATTCTTTCACTTAAAGACGTCAGTTCAGTGTCTACATGCTATGTCGGGTCTCACAGGGGCTTTACACTAAGACTGGAAAAGAGCACCCCCAGGGAGTTCCGAGCAGGAGAGCATCAGCACACATAGGCTGCCCTTTGAAATCAGAGGAACTCAGAGGATGAAATCGGCAGCCCTATTTCTACTCTGTGTGCTCCTGGGGGCCTAAGGAGCAGGGGAGGGCCACTGAGCCCCAGGAAGGGCTACAAGTTTGGGAAGGAGAGAAGGACAGGGTAACGCTTGAGCACAGGCTGTTAAAAAACCCCACCTATGTAAAACAGGAATGAGAGTGAGGACATGAATAAAAACCATAGCTAGAGCCACAGTGAACGCTCCGCTGCAGCTCTAAGAGTCCCTCCCCTTCTCACAGCTGCTCAAGGAATCACCTGCATCTTTCTCCGTGCAACATTACAGTTGGTTACTTGGCTCACATAGGTTAAAATTCCTATGAAAACAAGACCCCTTTCGGTCTTGTCCGCCACTGTAAGTCCAGCACCTAGCATGACACGTGGAATGATGCATCCGTGTCACAAATATTGCTGTATGGTTAAGTGAGAGAGTGAATGCAGGGAGAATGGACAGAAGAATCCAATGACGTGGGGACTTTTAGTTCACCTTAGAATAGGGGACACTAAATATCTGGATGCTCATACGTGTACTGACTCCACAGTCAGGTGAACCCCGTCTCATCACCACGTCATGCCTAGTCTTCCAAAAACACTGTTCTATGGACTGTGGAACCACGTGAGATGGCATGATTCAGGAAATCAGAAGTACAGAGTAACCACTGGCTTAGGTTACCTTCCGGAGACGTTCCCAAAGGCCAATGGCTTCCTTGCATTTGCTAACCTCAAAGATCCCTTTCCTTTCAAGATCTGAACAATTCCCGTCTTCCAGGAAGCCAGCACCCACAAGAGCCACCTCACCCATCACAAGAGTAAGCCCTGGGATCGTTAACATTATCACAGCACTGGCCTCTGGCCAGTATCACCACACATTGCATACAAAGTATTTTGTAGAAAATATTTTTAACCAACTTCAGGATGTTTTGATAACAATTTAGCAAGACCCTTTCTGCCTCAGAGGAATGCGGCTTGCAAGAGAACACTTCCCAGAGATGGAAGGCTAGGGAGTCAGGGGGCGTGAAGGCGAGCGTAGGACAGGCCTGTTTGCTAGAAGCAATAGCCATCAAAGGTATATTTCCTACACGCTGAACTTTAGTTTTAGGAGCATAGTCATTACCTCTTTCTGCAGGTCTTCCACATTTAATTTCAAATGACCACACACAGATATTCTTGCTTCCTGTGACTTTTGGAAAACCAAGGCATGTCGCAGCTGTTTCTCATGCTACACACACAGATACAAAAAAAAAAAAAAACAAGTATGTGTACACATCACAAACCTCTAGTTAAACTAAATACAAGGTGGAAAGTCATGTTTATTTGGCTACAGGAAAACAAAAAGAAAGCCATCAATTCAAATCAAATAAACTTCCATTATGTCTTCTTGAACTAATGCTGAGGACATTGCAATCTAACAACAACAAAAAAAACCACTTCTACCTAGTTCCATAAAAGCAACTATTTAAAAAGTACCAAATGGTATGAGCACTGAGCCTTGAGACTGACACCTACATCCCACACGGGAATGCTTGGATCTGATTCCCAGCTCCAGTTCCTAACTCCAGCTTCCTGCTAATGCACACCCTGGGAAACCAGTGACGGCTCAGGGAACTGGGCTCCCGCCTCCCATGTGGGAGATCTGGATTGCATTCTAGCTTCAGATCAGCTCAGCTCCAGCCGCTGCAGCCAATTGGAGAGAGAACTGGTGGATGGAAGATCTTTCCCTCTGTTTCTCCCTCTCTGTCTGCTCTCTCTGACTCTGTCAAATAAATAAATAAAAATCTTTAAAAGAAAAAAAAATAACAAAGGAAGGGGGGGTGTGGGAGCATGGGCACGAGGGAGGAGAGGGTGGGAAGTATCACTATACTCTAAAACTGTATAGATAAAATTTGTCCATATTACAAAAACAAAAAAAATTATTAAAAAAACTATGCATGTTCGATTTTTTGCACCAAACTTAGCATCTTTAATTCCATTTTCCATGAACATTTTGAAGAACTCTCCTAGGTAATACATATTCAAACAAGTACACATCTGAGTGTGTGTCCCTATGAGCTGTCACGTGCACACATATTTGTATAATTTATGCAGAAGAAACAGAATTTCCCACCTTGGTGCTCTCATGTCTGGTTTCTCTGGGTTCCTCCCCTCCATTTCCTTTTTTTTTCTCTCTCTCTCTCTCTCTCACTGTCAGTGGACAGTGAGAGAGAGACAGAGAGAAAGGTCTTCCTTTTCCATTGGTTCACCCCACAATGGCCGCTGCGGCTGGTGCACCGCACTGATCCAAAGCCAGGAGCCAGATGCTTCTCCTGGTCTCCCGTGCTGGTGCAGGGCCCAAGCACTTGGGTCATCCTCCACTGCACTCGGGGCCACAGCAGAGAGCTGGCCCGGAAGAGAGGCAATCGGGACAGAATGCGGGGCCCTGACCGGGACTAGAACGTGGGGTGCCGGCACCGCAGGCGGAGGATTAGCCTAGTGAGCTGTGGCGCTGGCCTCCATTGCCTCTTGCCCTTGAACTTGGCCCACACCCTTCTTCCTCATCTCACCGAATCACCCAAAGGCTTCATCCCCAACAAGAATTTCTCTCTTTGCCAAAACTCAGAACTCACTTCTACAAACCTGACTTGTAAAGCCAGAGCAAAACCTTCCTGCTTTCCACGTTAAAAGATTCCTTCAGAGCCTTCCTAGGCCCAACCTCTTGAACAAGGACTCACATTATCAGGGTTGTTTCTTCCACATTTACACAGCTCACTTCTTCTTAGGCAGTTCAACTTGACTTACCATTTCAAAGAATTGTCTGTGCTCAAAGCGACTTGAGGTATGATATCCATAAATTCTAAGGACATCCGACTCTAGCCCCAAGGGCTGTACTATATTGATTTTCTTCTGAAGAGCATGAATGATAAAAATGTTTAAAAAATCTGTTTGTCGAGCGGTGATTCCTTCGTCTGAGACGACCAAGAAATGCGGGTAGCATTCCTCAAGAAATGTGTTCCATTCTGGAGACAAACAATTGGAAAACTCAGTATGAACAGTGACATCAGTATTGTATTCTAAATGTTGAATCAGGGCAGTACGAAGGGCCAGAAAATGAGGGCAGTTAAAATATATATTTTCTGCATCCTGTAAAAAAAAAAGGAAACAAGTGTTAGTATTAGAGATAAAAAATGAGTGTCTAGTTATTTTTGTGAAGCTTATGGGAGTTACTGTGCTAACATGATAGAAAGAGCTAAGATGATTAAACATGTTCTATGCAGCCTCTACAAGTGTAAGTAGATAAGAACAAACTCAGTGGCCATTCTCCTCTGTACAACATTTACTATTAGCCCTTTCAGCAGAGCCTCTAGTTACAGACTGAAGAAGCAATATAGCTAATAGTTAAGTAATGATGGGCCACGTTTCGAAATGATTGACTCTGTTTTCCAAGATGAGAACGGAGAACGAAATATCTGTTACCTTAAAAAAGACGATTACAAATCTGGCTTCCTTTTGAATGAAGTCGTGCAGAAACCGCTCCATAATGTAGAAGAAGTGGAGGGTTTGCCCCATCTTGAGGTTCACATGGAGAGCACAAGTGAGGAGTAAGGAATCTCCATCAATCAAAAAAAATTCAGATTCAACGAAGTCTTTCAGCAAGCTGACCCTCCTGAATAAAATACAGAACAGGCGGAGACTGTGGACAGAGCAGCAGCCTCAGAGAAAATCCACAGTTTGATTGGGTGGGCAACTCTTCTTCCAGTCTAAGAAATTTAAAGAAAAAACTAAGCATAAATTTCTGTTATCTTTAACAGTTTTCCAGGGCACTTCCATGATTTTGATAATAGAATAAGCCCCTGGTTGGAGCCTGACATCCTAAGAGTGGAACTGCAACTCACTTCAGTGTACGCGTATGCTTAAATTTATGCAAAAAAAATTCATCTCCACATACATTTTAGATTGACAGGCTTACTGTTATGTACTTCAAATGTGAAACACTAAATCAGTCATTATCCTTGTTCAGTTATATGCTGTTTATTTATTCAGTTCAGTTATTTGCTTTTTAAGCTAATGTACAATCAACATCTGTGACGTCTTCACTCAACCCAGCAACAAAAAGATTTTTCTTTTTTTTTTTTTTAATTTTTTTTTGACAGGTAGAGTTAGTGAGAGAGAGAGAGACAAAGAGAAAGGTCCTCCTTCTGTTGGTTCACTCCCCAAATGGCCACTACGGCCGGTGCTGCGCCGATCCGAAGCCAGGAGCCAGGTGCTTCTTCCTGGTCTCCCATGCGGGTGCAGGGCCCAAGCACTTGGGCCATCCTCCACTGCACTCCCGGGCTACAGCAGAGAGCTGGACTGGAAGAGGGGCAATCGAGACTAGAACCCGGTGCCCAAGATTTTCATAACTTATATCTTCCCAGTGAGTCGTTTCCAAAGCTCATTACCCAGCCTCTCCCCTCAGAGGCAGCCACTGCCTTGAATTCAATTTTACTCAGTCTCACTTCACTTTTTAAGTTCTTATGATGTATATTATGCTTAATTTGTAATTTTATCAGAAACGCATCCCACGCCTTTTCTGAAATTTCTTTGTTTAACTCAAGTACTAATTACGATTAAAATCCCGCATGTGGTTATAGGATGCTATGCTTGAACTACTGCACTGTGATGTGTACATCATAACTGATTCTGTGTCCTCCTTCCCATGGGCATCTGACTTGTTTCTATGCATTTTTTGATACTGCCAACTGTGCTGCAAGGACTATTCTCATAGCTTCCTGAAACACAGGTTTCCTCAATGCCCACTCGACTGAACTCAGGCAAATGGAATTACTGAGTTGCAAGTTATAGGGTAGCACCAAGCGGTTTCCAAAGTCATCACAGAGCTACACAGGCCTTAGCAGGTATCAGAAGTTATTCCAGCTACATCTGGTGGTGTATAAAAACAAGAACTGCTAGGACGTGGGTTGTTACTAGATATAATTCCTTTTAATTAAAGGAAAGCATTTGGCCTATCTGTTAGGATGCCTATAACCTACATGCGAGTGCCTGGATTTGAGTCCTGGTTTCAGCTACCAATTCCAGCTTCCTGCTAAAGCACACCCTGGGAGGCAGTGGTGATGGCTCAAGTAGCTGGCTCCCTGCCACCCACACGGGAGACCCACACTAAGTTCCCAGCTCCCAGCATTGACCAAGCCCAGCCCGGCAGTCCCAGGCATTTGAAGACTGAACCAGCAGGTGGAAACTAACTCTCTCTCTCTCCCCTTCCCCCTCCCTCTCTCCTTCTCTCCCTCTCTCCCTCTCTTTTCCATCCTGCTCCTCTCAAACTAAAAACTCAAACACAGTAGGAAAATGTTAACTCTATGTATTCTTTCAGAATTCACTTCCCGCAAATTTCAACACATAATGTTTTGGCTAAGACCAAATGCTCTGGATTCTAAGCCTGCTCCTACGTGACTTTAGACAAATTGCTTGTCTATCCTGTGCTACAGTTTCTTGACTTGCAAAAAAAAAAAAAAAAAAAAAGAATTCAGAACAGCTAATCCTTCAAACAATTGCTGTGAGGATTAATGAGATAAACATGAGTGGTTAGAACCAAAATATGTTTAGGCCATAATCTATACTTAAAATATGCTTGTTATAAAGAATGTTTTGAGTTTTTATTTTACTTTGTAGTTGAATACAATTGGTATTGTAGTATTATAAATTCCATTTTGATTCTAAACTTATTCTATTGTAAATTAATTGAGAAAATTGGAATGAGGCACCAAATGCCAAGATTAGACTCAATAAACCACCAGTGGCAGGAACATTTTTACTCTCTTCACTGTGGTGTGCTGTGGGGAGCAATCCGGACTAGACTAAGTTGCTCGAATTAGGACTTATTCTATGCATCTGCTCTCCCACAATATGGCGCTGGGAGAGAAGTAAACAGCTTCCGCACAGCTGCCTCCAGTTCAACCAATTAACTGTAGGACTTGCTCCTGATTGGAGAGCAGCGTACTCAGCCGAGTTGGGATTGGCGGAGGAGGACTATAAAGGAGGAGAGAGACGGCATGCACCGGGAACATCTAAGGGGAACATCTGAAGGAACACCTGTGCAGCCCCCGAGAGAGCCGGCCGGCGGTGTGCCGCTCCCCTGCGGAAGTGGGGAATGTGGCCAGGGGGAACTGCCCTTCCACGGAGGTGGAAGGGATAGTAGCCAACCCGGGAAGAACCAGCAGCAAACCCGGGGAAGGCCGAGCAGATGAAAGAACAGCGCAGGGTCCTGTGTTGCTCCTCCACGAAGAGGGGGAGCGACATAATGGTGCCGTGACTCGGATATGAAGCCTAGGCAGGGTTTAGTGTTGCTCCTCCATGAAGAGGGGGAGCGACATAATGGTGCCGTGACTCGGATAGGAAACCTGACTCGGATAGGAAACCTAGCTCGGATAGGAAACTTAGGACGGATACGAAACTTAGGAGGGAAGAAACGGGAAGAACTAGGGAAAATATCGGAGAGAGAGACTAGCAAACAGCCTAGGGAAAAGCCGGACGAAAAGGGTGCCGGAAGAAGCTATTGAAAGCCTAGGCATAGACTCGGATACGGACTACGGGGGGAAGCTGGGAGAAATCTCTAAGGTCGAAAGCGAAAGTGAAAGCTAGAACAAACAGACTCGGACGCGGACTGTGGGGAGAGGCCAGGAGAAATGAGGGAGGAATATCGTTGGAGGAAAGCTTGGGGAAACATACCGGGTAGAGAAAAATGTTAGGGAAATTGAAGCCGCGGGGGGCAGGCCGAGGCGGAAACGAAAGCCACTTTGGGATTCTCAAGTTAGCCCGGGAATAGGGGGCGAAAAGTTAAAACCAGAAGCTGAGACGTAAGCCAGATTGGGATCCGTCTGATTAGCCCGGGGAGCAAAGGACGGGAAGCCAGATCGTGGGGCGGAGACGTACGCTGGGTTGAATTCGCCAGGCTAGCCCGGGGAACTTGGATTGAATCCTAGTGGCGGAGACGCAAGCTACGCTGTGTTACTCGCGGAAGCCGCCGCGTGCAGAGAGAGCACGGGGCGTGAATAGATAGGGAACGCTGGCGTAGGCCGTGGTTCAGACGCGAAAGGGTTAAGCGTGGAGACCGCGGACCGCGCAAAGCCGGGAAGCCGCGCAGAGAGGCGCGCGGGCTGAAGCGGCGCAGAGCCGGGAACCCGCCGGCGGGGCGAGGTGCCGGGAAGCTGCGGGGATAAGAGAAACAGAAGTTTTAGAAGTAAGATGAGAGAAATAGGAATGCTGGAAGATAGAAGTAAAATGGGAGAAATAGGAATGCCCGGAGATAGAGAAATAGAGAGAAATAAGGCCTCCCCTCAACATGCCAATTAGAAGGCTTGGATTCGGTCTGCCCGATTAGTGAGGCGATGAGCACCTGGGCGGCTAGCCGCAGGTCACTGAAGACAGGCACGAATTAACATCAGTAAGGCCTCCCCACAAAAAGGCAATGAGAAGGCTTGGATTCGGTTTGCCTGATAGGTTTTGTAAACACCTGCAGGCAGTTCTAGCAGAGCAGAGCATGCGCTGCAGGGCACCGAACACAGGCACGCATCAGCGCCTAAAAACCTCCTCACAATGGCGAAGAGAGGACCCGGATTCGGTTTTCCTGATTGATAGGACTTGTAAGAGCCTGTGGCAACTCTAGCAAGTACAGCAGAGTGTGTGCTGCGGGACACCGAAGACAGGCGCGTATCAACGCCAAAAAATAAAAAGAAAGGGGGATCTGTGGGGAGCAATCCGGACTAGACTAAGTTGCTCGAATTAGGACTTATTCTATGCATCTGCTCTCCCACAATATGGCGCTGGGAGAGAAGTAAACAGCTTCCGCACAGCTGCCTCCAGTTCAACCAATTAACTGTAGGACTTGCTCCTGATTGGAGAGCAGCGTACTCAGCCGAGTTGGGATTGGCGGAGGAGGACTATAAAGGAGGAGAGAGACGGCATGCACCGGGAACATCTAAGGGGAACATCTGAAGGAACACCTGTGCAGCCCCCGAGAGAGCCGGCCGGCGGTGTGCCGCTCCCCTGCGGAAGTGGGGAATGTGGCCAGGGGGAACTGCCCTTCCACGGAGGTGGAAGGGATAGTAGCCAACCCGGGAAGAACCAGCAGCAAACCCGGGGAAGGCCGAGCAGATGAAAGAACAGCGCAGGGTCCTGTGTTGCTCCTCCACGAAGAGGGGGAGCGACATAATGGTGCCGTGACTCGGATATGAAGCCTAGGCAGGGTTTAGTGTTGCTCCTCCATGAAGAGGGGGAGCGACAGTGTGCAAAGTCCCTAGCACATTAGCAAGCACACACAAATGGTTGTCAGGAAAACAACACAACACACTGGCGTGGTGCAGTCATCGTTGCTGATATTATAGAATGTTTCACCGTTGGTCAACTTGTGCCAAAGTCAGTTTCATGAAACTTGCGCAATGTTTTAAATGGTATACAATGTTAGTTAAACAGCTACTTTATTATTGTGCAGTATTAAAAGAAAATTGAGTCTTTTCTCCACTTATACCCCTCTTCAAATTCTTCAATAACTTACTCCTGGCTACCGAATGACTTAGACCATAACATTTCCCAAGGAAAGATTTCTCTATTTTTAATAACATTAACTTTTTACCCCATTGGAAGGTTATACAAAACAACTTAGCAGGAAGAAAATTTAAAAAAAAATATGCCATGCAGAGGGAAATAACATGTCGTGATGTGTGACTTTGAACTATTTGTGTTATACTTACTCGGATTTTGACAGGTGGGCCCAAAGGTACCTGGAGAGTTTCTTTAGAATTTCCCCACATTCAGTTAATCCTTTCAAAATAAATAACAGAGGTTTAATATTCATTTTTTTAAAGATTTATTTGTAAGGCAGAGCAACAGAAAGGGAGGGAGAGATCGACCCAGGAGCCCAGAACTCTGCTTAGGTCTCCCACATGATAGCAGGGGCCCAAACATCTGGGCCATCTTCCATTGCTTTCCCCGGCACATTAGCAGGGAGCTGGATTGGAAGTGGAGCAGCCAGGACTCGAACTGGTGCTCACAGGGGATGCTGGCATTGCAGGCAGCAGCTTAACCTGCTGTGACACAACACTAACCTCTCATATTCAGTTTTAAAAGACAACTTCTGCTGATGACTTTGACTAAATTTGTATTTTATGCAAAGCTGCAAACACATCAATGGAACGTTCCTAAGAATGTGAAAGACACATCGCTGTCTCCATAATGACAGCCTGCCTACCCCACTCACTAAACAGAATGATTGTGGGCCAGGGCAGCCAAATCATACAGTTTTGAAATTAGCTTTTTCATAAATTCTCAGTCACAAATGAATTTTATGATATACATAAATCTTTAAGAAATCTGCAAAATACAAATGTAAACAAAACTTGAGCAATGTGCCACTTCCAAAGTTAATTCATGTGAATATTTTATATGGAGAGACACAGAGAGAGAGAGAGAGAGAGAGATGTTAAATAAACATCTTTTAATTAAAGGAAAGCATTTGGCCTGTTAGGATGCCTATAACCTACATGCGAGTGCCTGGATTTGAGTCCTGGTTTCAGCTACCAATTCCAGCTTCCTGCTAAAGCACACCCTGGGAGGCAATGGTGATGGCTCAAGTAGCTGGCTCCCTGCCACCCACACGGGAGACCCACACTAAGTTCCCAGCTCCCAGCATAAATAAATAAATAAATTTCTAAATATAAATTATATATATAATAATATATAATATATAATATATTATATATAATATAATATAATATATATAATATATATAAATATATAAAATATATATAAAATATAATATATATTATATATATAATATATATTATATATAATATAATATAATATATATAAAATATATATATAAAATATAATAATATATATAATAATATAATAATAATAAATAAATAAAATAAATTTCTAAATATCTACATCTACCTTCAAAAGTTCTGCCACGGTGCCGCGCTGTGACGCAGTGGGCTAAAGTCCCAGCCTGCAACACTAGCATGCCATCTAGGCATCAGTTCGAGTCCCGGCTGCTCCACTTCCCATCCAGCTCCCTGACAATGCTCCTGGGAAAGCAGCAGAGGGTAGTCCAAGTGCTTAGGCCCCCTGCACCCACGTGGGAGACCCAGAGGGAGTTCCTGACTCCTGGCTTAGTCCTGCCTATTGAGGCCATTTGGGGAGTGAACTAACGAAAGAAAGATTGATCAATCTCTCTCTCTCCCCTCTCCTTTTCCCCATCTTCCACCCTCTGTATCTCTTCTTCTCTGTTGTGTCATTCTACCTTGGAAATAAATAAATAAATAAATCTTTTCCCAAAGAAGAGGAGAAGCATGAAAGAAACTCACATGCATGGGTAATCTCTCACCTGATTCTCCCAACTGACAGCTGTTCTCAACTGTAGCTTCAGCTCCTGGAGGTGTCTCTTCATTGATTTCAAACTGCAGTTGCCTGGAAGTTGGCTCTTCTACGATGCCTTCTGAGCTCAGGTCATCTTCTTCTTCAAATTGATCAAAAGAGGACACGCTCTCCGTGGTCTCACTGGCTTCAGAGCTATCATTTTCAGTGTCACTGTCACTGTCACTGGAGCTTGACTTTTCACCTGCCACAGCAGGTGCAGTAGCCATGATCTATAAAAGCAAACCTATTAAGCATTACCCATTTTTTAAAAATAAGATATCACGATAGTTCACTCATTCAACAGTAACATCTGCTTTATTACTTCTCTCTCTAAATCTTCCCAGTTCGTATTTACCCAAGAGTATATTTTTCACAATCCTTCCCCCAAATATGTTTGCTGCAAGTCATTCAAAAGAAAATGGTGTGGGGAAGGCACTGTGGCATAGCAAGTTAAGCTGCCGCCTGCAGTGCCAGCATCCCATATGGGTGCTGGTTCAAGCCCCAGCTGCTCCACTTCTGATCCAGCTCTCTGCTATGGCCTGGGAAAGCAGTGGAAGATGGCCCAAGTGCTTGGGCCCCTGCACCCATGTGGGAGACCCAGAAAAAGCTCCTGGCTCTGGATCGGCACAGCTCTGGCCATTGTGGCCAACTGGGGAGTGAACCAGTAGATGGAAGACCGCTCTCTCTCTCTCTCTCTGCCTCTCCTTCTCTCTGTGTGTAACTCTGACTTTCAAATAAACAAATAAATCTTAAAAAAAGAAGAAGAAGATGGTGTGGCACCACTGCATGGCACAAAACACTTCTGAAAATACCTGAAGCTGCTTCAAAAAGCCTGTGAAAAATTGAACTAAAAGGACTTTTTTTTTTTTGTAAAAACAATGAAATCCATGCATGGTTTTTTCATAATAAACATTTCCCACAAACTTTTTAAAGTCCTCTCATGCATGAAAGTCACATTTACAGAGAAAAAAAATAGTGTCTGCAGAAGGATGTGAAGCAAGAAATCTAGAAAATGGTAGAAAGTTATGTTCGCACCTTCCTTTTGGAAGAGTCTCCAAAGACAAATTCGCAGCATTTGAAGCGTTACTAAGTCATATTCTCTCTCACAGTTGAGCGCATAGTCAGCCAGCTTACACTGAATTAGCATCCAACTAACATGAGGGAGTTGTTGGTTTCTGCGCGCTCAATGACTTTCGGGGCGTCCTCAGCTGAGGTTCTGAAACGCACACTCTCTTACTCGAATCAGCGTATGTACCCTCGCTTTATGTGTCCTTTCACCAGGAAATACTGCAGGAGCGGCCCCAGCAGAGGTGCCAACAGTGAGACAGTGTCTTCTGGCTGGAAGAGCTCATCACGTCATTGTATACTGAAGCACTCCTGCTCTCAGGAATTGAGGTCATTCTTAAGTCCAGGCACTCTACTGCGGGATGTGGTCATCCTAATTGGGCTCTTCATTGCTGGGTCAAATGCCCACCCCACTTTAAATGGCCTCTTGCAAGATGACCCCAAGGGAATGAATTATTAGCCATGTGGATACTAAGCCATGGACACCTCTGTGGTGCACCTCTGTGTTGGCTCTTCCTCTTGCTCCACCTCATTCTTCTTGACCTTGGATTTCCTGAAACTGCACGTCTTAATAAATTATTAGCACTTTTTTTTTTTTTAATCTCAGTCTCTGCTTTCTTGGGAACCTTGACCAAGAGCATTGAGATCAGGAGTGGTCACTGAGAGTCTGTCTTCAGGACTGAATCGTGCAGCTGGATCCCTCCCTGGTGGAAGGTGTATGGTGACCCTGTTGCTGGGGCTAAGACAGGCGCCCATAACCTTGGCACACAGCAGGATCACAGTCACTAATGCTTTACTCTGTGCTTAATTCTAATGAAGCACAGGTGAAGGGTAAGGCACTGAAAAAAATGCTTTAGCTGCAGCGCTTGAAAGTATGGGAGCAGGGGCCGGCGCTGTGGCGTAGCAGGTAAAGTCGCCACCTGCAATGCCAGCATCCCATATGGGCGCTGGTTCGAGCCCCGGCTGCTCCACTTCTGATCCAGCTCTCTGCTGTGGCCTGGGAAAGCAGTGGAAGATGGCCCAGGTCCTTGGGCCCCTGCATCTGCGTGGGAGACCAGGAAGAAGCTCCTGGCTCCTGACTTCAGATTGGCTTAGCTCTGGCCATTGCTGCCAATTGGGGAGGGAACCAGCAGATGGAAGCTCGCTCACTTGCTCTCTCTCTCGCTCTCTCTCTCTCTCTGCCTCTCCTTCTCTCTGTAACTCTGACTTTCAAATAAATAAATTTCTAAAAAAAAATTATGGGAGCAGTGATGATTTTCTTCCATCCATAACACCAGAAAATTTTCAGAAAGAAACGTAGATTGAGGGCATCCACCAGCCAACTTAAGGCATGTCCTGAAATTCAGAACACCTCAAGACAGATTTTTGAAGGCAGGCTCTCCTCTCCCTACTGCTCAGGGCAGAGTGTGATGAAAATCATGCTTAGAATCTCATACACAGCCTTGGCAAGTGTCCATTTTTTTTTTCTTGATAGGAAAAAAAATGTAGGATGGGTATTTAGGTCAATGATCTCATGCATGTTGAACCCCCAATCCCTCAAAAATTCTCCAGGCTGATGAAGCTGCCCGCCCCCTCTTGCCAAGGGATAACAGCCTCTGCTTGCTCCACGTCAATGAGCCATGCCACCAAATGAGGTTCACTTTCCCAGAGACCTGTCCCTACCCCTTCCACCGACTCCAGGCAGTCACCCAGGGCTCCTCCTTAACACCGCCTATGTGGAAAGTGCAGTCCCTGCTCTACGAGGAAATAGCTTAGCTGGCAGAGGGACTGAGGGGCTGGCTACTGCATTTCCTCAGGACTGAGGGTGCCTTTGCAAGTAGATCACAAAGGTGCTGAACAAGGGATGCCGGTAGCAAATATGAGGCTGAAGGGGAGAATTCATGGACGTGAGAGCAGTGAACAGCCTACCAAAAAAATCAAGCAAATGGATGCCCATTCAAGCACACCTGCTCTGTACTGAAGCACATCACTATAGCCTCTGGCACTTGTCATGGGGCTGCCACACTGGTAAATCCATTTGTTTCCTACTCCTATCCATAAAGAAGATAGAAAGTAGCACACATTCACCTAGGAAGAATGTCAGTTTTTTCTCAGGGCTCTGTTAAATTCCCTGTTCACTACCACAGTACAGCAGGTACCTTGACCAGCATGACATTTCAGAGAACATCATGCTGGCTTTCTGTACTGATGATTTACCATGCACTATTAGGACACAGTTCTTTTTTATTTTATTCATTTAGTTGAGAGATAGAAAGAGAGAGAGCACGCACACATCCACCAGCTCACTTCCCAAATGCGGGCAGTGGAAGGGCTGGGCTGGGTAGAAGCCAGGAGCTAGGAACTCGGGCCAGGTATCCCAAGTGGGCGGCAGAGACCTAACTACTGGAGCCATCACTGTTGCTCCCAGGATCTGCATTGGCAGGAAGCTGGAAACAGAAGCAGGAGCCAGGAACCACACCCATGTCCTCCCGTGTGGAATGCGGGTGTCTTAACACTGTGCTAAACACTCATCCCAAGACACATTCCGTGAGGCTCAATTGCCTGCCACAATCCTTCATATGTAAGCATTAGGATCTCCAAAAAGTTCATGGAAATAAGTATTATGAAAAAAAACTATGCATGGATTTCAAATATCTTGTGCCAAAACAAAGTGAATTTGAAATTCCATTTTCCACTAAGTTTTGGAAGTGCCTTCACACATGTGCCTTCACCCCTTTCTCCTCTCTGATACCCACAGTCGGTTTCTATTGGCTTCTGTCTTGCACAAACTGTTCCCTTTGTGTTCCAGGCTCAACCACGCCTGCTCTCTCCTGGACCTTGTCTAAAGGTTGCCTCCCTCTTCCACATGATCTCCTCCCCCACTTTTTTTTACCTGGCGTCTTCCCCTTGGTGTCTAAATATAGCCACAGCTACTCCATCCTATAATAATCCCACTGCGGCCTCTGTTCTCCTCAATTTCCTTTCTTTACCTCGCTTTCTTTACCTTTCTATCACTCTCCTCCTGAATGGCAACCCAGCAGCTTGTGGTCTTTCAACAGAAGTCCTGTGCCATCATCCATGTCAATGAGCATTGGAAGGATCTTATGATTCCTCACCCAATACTATCATCATCAGGAAGAGTCAATGATTGCATAACTGAGAAATCATTTTATCTCTCTGTGCCTGAGTTCCTTTGTCTTTAAAATAAAAAGTTAAAAACTAACTTCTAAAAGCAAAAGCGTATAAATAGAAAATGGGAAGATGTAAAAGTGCTGACCATTTCTGCCACAAATCCATAAATGTTCAGCACTTCCTGGCTCTTGTTTTTTTTTTTCAGAAAGTAAAGTTTCCTATAAATATAATTTCATCTTGATGAATACCGACTTCATTAATTAACTTACTCAATCATCATGTAGGGGACATTTACTATAATGTCTGACACTATTCTAGGCAGTAGCCTTGAAGACATCAACTCCAGAAAGGGCGTGGTCTGGAGAAGCAGAAAGATAAGTTAGCAGATCAATCACAAGGCAGCATGAGTGCTGTGGTATAAGCTCGGGGACGGATCTGGCGCTGTGGAAGCTTAAATCAGGAAGTGCTTGGGACAGCTGAGTGAGACTTCTCAGGTTATGCAATATTCGAACTTTAGCTTGAAAAGGTATTAGAAGGTTGGTGGGTGGGAGCAGGATAAAGCATTCCAGGAAGAGAGAACAGCATTAGGAGGTCAACAGTTAGGAGGTCAACAGGAGATCTGAGAAGGCAGAGTTGGAACGAAGCACCTGCCCCGAGCTTGCTCAGTGTGAGCCTCTAACAGGGAATCAAAACCCTCCCTAGTCTCCAGATAGAAGAGGCATGAATGATTCTGTCAAGCCCACTCATGAATTCCATCAAGAAGGAACCATACTCAGACATTCACATTTGTCTGCACCGGTATGATCCGTACAATCAGCAGCTTCCAGGGTGGGCATCTGACCCGGTGGCTAAGCCACCACTTGGGATGCCCACAGTTCATATAGAGCACCTGGGAACAAGGCCTGAATCTGCTCCTGCTTCCTGCTTCCTGTTGATGCAAACCCCATGGATCAGCACCTGACGGCTCAGGTAGCTGCGTTCCTGCCTCCCATTTGGGAGACCCGGATGGAGCTCCCAGCTGCTGACCTCAGCCTGGCCCAGCTGACCGCTGCAGGCATTTGAAGAGTAAGCTGGCAGACGGGAGTTCCCGCTCTCTCTCCCTACCTCTCAAATAAGTAAATAAAGTTTTTTAAAAATCAGTTTTCCTCAAATGCCGCTTCCCCTCCCATTATCCCAACCATAGAACTAAGGAAAGACCCTACAGCACGTAATCTGATTGATGTCTCCTTCTCTGCTTTTTGGTAAAGAAGCATTTAAATTTGGTATTTTGCACATATCAGTTCTTGCTTTAATAGAACAGTCTGTGGTTTCCTACACATCCTCTTGTAGTCCTGAGTTTTACAGGGAAGTAATCAGAAGATCGGGGAGGTTTTCAGCTTGTCCAAGGTCCTGCAGCTAAGAAACAGAAGAGCTGAGTTTCTCCGATCCAAGCCCTCCTTCCCCACACATCTTCCAATACCACTTGTGCTTCTTAAAAGTTCAGTAGCCCCTGGGGCTGGCACTGTGGCACAGTAGGTTAAGCCACCACTTGTGGCACTAGCATTCCCTATCAGAGTGCCGGTTCAAGTCCTGACTGCTCTGCTTCTAATCCAGCTCCCTGGTAATGAAGATGCCTGGCCCAGCCCCAGCTGTTGTAGTCACTGGGGGAATGAACCAGAAGATAGAAGATCTCTCTTTTAAAAAATGCATTTATTTATTTTAAAGGCAGAGTTACACAAAGAGAGGAGAAGCAGAGAGAGAGAGAGAGAGAGAGGTCTTCCATCCACTGGTTCACTCCCCAGTTGGCTACAATGGCCGGAGCTGCGCTGATCTAAAGCCAGGAGCTTCTTCCTGGTCTCCCACAAGGGTGCAGGGGCCCAAGGACTTGGGCCATCTTCTACTGCTTTCTCAGACCACAGCAGAGAGCTGGATCAGAAGAGGAGCGGCCGGGACTCAAACTGGCGCCCATATGGGATGCCAGCACTGCAGGCGGCGGCTTTACCTGCTCTTCCACAGTGCCGGCCCCAAGATCTCTCTCTCTCTCTCTCTCTCTCTCTCTGCTTTTCAAATAAATGAAATAAATCTTAAAAAAAAAAAAGGTCAGAAAATGCATGCTGTCATTTGTTCCCCATTTCCTTCACACAGGCACCAAAGCCCCTACCTGTGGTCTGTAGTTCTCCCTTCCACGTGCAGCAGCCAGCAGCAGTTACGGGGAGCTGTGGGACCTGTGAACACATGGGAGGGCAGGCTGAGCTTCCTCCTCGCTCAGGAAGAGCCTTGGTGCCACCCTCTGCACCAGCTGAGTCACCAAGCTTTAAGTTTCGTTTCCCAGAGAAGGTACAAGACTGAGGCTGTATGCCTTATCACAGATTCCCGGGGCTGTCCCATGTATGTTGCCGATGCCTTCTAGGAAAACGCACGTCTCTGCCATTGAAGGCAAAGGTCGAAAGCACATGCACACACACAGAGAGAGAGAGAACACACACACACACACGCACACACATGTCCCTGCCTGACCTGCAACCTGGTAATGCCCAACTATTAACTACTCCAAAGATGAGCTCAGGGCCAGCACCGTGGCTCACTTGGTTAATCCTCCGCCTGCGGCACCGGCATCCCACATGGGCGCTGGGTTCTTTCCCAGTAGCTCCTCATCCAGTCCAGCTCTCTGCTGTGGCCCAGGAGTGCAGTGGAGGATGGCTCAAGTCCTTGGGCCCTGCACCCATGTGGGAGACCAGGAGAAGTACCTGGCTCCCGGCTTCGGATCAGCGCAGCTCGCCGGCCGCAGCAGCCATTAGGGGAGTGAACCAACGGAAAGAAGACCTTTCTCTCTCTCTCTCTCTCACTGTCTAACTCTGCCTGTCAAATAAAATATATATATATATATATAAAAGATGAGCTCAGCCACTTCCTAAGGTCACTCACGTTATCCTTTTTGTTTTGTTTTGCTTTGTTTTGGTTAGCAACTGTTAAGGGGCCCGGCACTGTGGGGTAGTGGGTAAAGCCACCGCCTGCTGTGCCAGCAGCTCTGGCCATTGTGGTCATTTGGGGAGTGAACCAGTGTATGGAAGACCTCTCTCTCTCTCTCTCTCTCTCTATATATATATATATATGTATGTATATATATATATATATATCTGGCTCTGGCTCTCTCTGTAACTCTTTCAAATAAATAAAATAAATCTTGAAAAAATGATAATTAAACTGACATGTCCTATATCTAGCAGTTAAGACAACTTCTATACCACTGATGGGCCAAAAAGCATTCATTTAAATAAACTAAAATTCTTAAAATTAAATAACCCTAAAGATATTCATAAAAAGGTGTAAAATACAGAGCTGGCACCGTGGCACAGTGGGTAAATCCTCCGCCTACAGTGCCGGCATTCATATGGGTGCCAGTTTGAGGCCCAGCTGCTCCACTTCCAATCCAGCTCTCTGCTGTGGCCTGGGAAAGCAGTAGAAGATGGCCCAAGTCCTTGGGCCCCTGCACCCATGTGGGAGACCTGGAAGAAGCTCCTGGCTTCTGGCTTCAGATCAGTGCAGTTCCAGCCATTGTGACCAACTAGGGAGTGAATCAGTGGATGGAAGACTTCTCTCTCTCTCTCTCTCTCTCTCTCTCTCTCTCTCTCTCTCTCTGCTTCTCCTTCTCTCTCTCTGTAGCTCTGACTTTCAAATAAATAAATAAAACTTTTAAAAAAGGTAGAAAATACCTCTAAAATTACATTTACCAAGGAATGTATATTTTCAAATATTCATATCAGAAAGAAGTTAGAAAGAAAATTAGTGAGCTAAGCATTCAACTTAGCTGAAGGAATTAAAAGAACAGTGAGAAAAAAATGTAAAAAGAAAGTGACTTTTTAAAGAAGGTAAGAGGAGAAAATTAATACAGAAAATCCACCCATGCATACAAAAAAGGAGAGAGGACCAATAAAGCCAAAATGAATTATTTGAAAATAACAATAGTTCCATAGCCTGGGCCTGGGGAGGCACAGTAGTGGAAAGAGAAAAGCTGCCATATTTGAGAGATACTGTGAAGACTGTCAATACGACTTGGGTACTGATTTCATTTGCAGGTGGAAAATTCACTCCATTGCAAAAGATAACTTCATTCAGTCAAAGAAAGAGATATAGATGTTTTGGAAACAAACTCCTATTTTCACCTTTTTCTCCCGATGTAACATCCATGAACATGCCAAGAAAATGGAAGAGTCCCAGCACCGTGCCAGTGTCTTTATCAAGAAAAGGAAGAATCACGGTGCAGGCCCAGGCCCACCATGCCCGGAGTCTCTCCTGAGCCTTTGTGCCCGCATGGATGTATATCCCTTATCTCACGCCATTCTACCAAGTCTGCTGGGTTTGTATGTTTCTCTGTCTTCCATGTAGGTCCAAAAAAATATTTGTTTATTCACGTTGTATTATTTACATGAAAAACACAGAACATATATTTCAAAGAGGGGAGCACAGTGAAGCAGCGGGTAACTCAGAGAAGGAAGCTCTCTGGGGCCCAGACGGAGACAGTCGCTGAAGTTCTTCTCCCAGATCCGTCAGATAGGCCACCTTGCCTTTGTATTCCCACGTGCACTTTATCCCCAAAACCGGGGCAAGTAGTGTTGGTGTTTTTGGTGGTTAGTACCTAAGACCCTTTGTATCCTTCCAAAGTTTGAAGCAATTGAAAAAACAGCATAGGTGATAGATGAATGACCCAAGAATCGTCAGCTGTGCTTTTATTAAATTTCCTATTGCCACTACCAACAAATGACGGCAAGATGAGTGGTAACTTCACAGGTCTGAAAGTCCTGAGTCCACAGTGGGTCTCCCCAGGGTGTTGGCAGGACTGTGTCCCTTCTGGAGGTCCTAGGGCAGAGAGAGGCCCTCCCCTGGTTAGATGGCGGGAGAGCTGTATCGACACAGTAGCTGAAATAGGATAAGGTGGAAAAGCACTGGGTCCACCAGAGTCAGGCTTACCAGGAAGGAGCAAGAATATGTGCCTGTGTTGTTGGTTTTCTTTCTTTCTTTCTTTCTTTTTTTTTTTTTTAAGATTGATTGATTGATTTGAGAGGCTGAGTGACAGGGAGAAAGGGAGAGACAGAGACAGAGAGGCTGTTCCATGTACTGGTTCACTTTCCAAGGCTGAGCCAGGCTGAAGACAAGGAGCCAGAAACTCCATCCAGGTCTCCCACACAGGGGGCAGGGGAACAAGCATTTGTCCCAACATCTGCTGCCTTCCCAGGATGCAGTAGCAGGGAGCTGGGTTGAAAGTGGAACATTCAGGAGGACTCAAAGCGTTGTTCCAATACCTGCTGCTCTACCCATCAGAGAAATCTCATCTCTGCTTAGAAACCCCCATGGCCAATACTGTCAGAAAACAATCACATGGGCTCCTTTTGAGTCAGATGTAACCAGTGAGCCAATCTACAATGGCCAAGAATACAGAACTCTGGTGTAAAAAATTACCTGCTTCCATGCGGATGCTTATAGAGTTGTTCATTTTTTAAAGATTTATTTGAAAGGCAGAGGGAGAGAGAGGAGAGAGAGAGAGAGAGAGAGAGAGAGAGATCTTCCATCAGCTGGTTCACTCCCCAAATGTCTGCAATGGCTAGAACTGGACCAATCTGAAGCCAGGCGCCAGGAGCTTCCTCCAAATCTCCCACGTGGGTGCAGGGATCCAAAGACTTGGGCCATCTTCTGAAACTTTCCCAGATGCATTAGCAAAGAGCTGGATCATAAGTGGAGCAGCCGAGACTCGAACCGGTGCCCATATGGGATGCTGGCGCTGAAGGCAGCAGCTTTACCTGCTACACCACAGCGCTGGCCCTTTACGGAGTTATTCTCTAGACTGAAAGACTATTCCATGGGGCCGGCATTATGGCACAGTGGGTAAAGCCGCCACCTGTGCTGCTGGCATCCCATATGGGCACTAGTTCAAGTCCCAGCCGCTACTCCACTTCTGATCCAGCTCCCTGCTAATGACCTGGGAAAAGCAGTGGAGAGCAACCCCCTGGGAGACCCAGATGGAGGTCCTGGCCCCTGGCTTCAGCCTGACCCAGACCCAGCCATGGTGGCCATTTGGGGAGTGAACCAGTGGATGGAAGATATCTCTCTCTCTCTCTCTCTCTCTACCCCCTTCTCTATAACTCTGCTTTTCAAATAAAAAAAAATAAATCTTAGAAAAAGGAAAGACTGCTCAAAGTAGTATGCTCAGTACATTTTTGGAATTCCTTCCAGTTAAACAAAAATGAACGACTAAATACGACATACCTGGTTTTGTGTGCTTCTTAACCATGTAAAAATGTCACAGTGTCAAGCCAAGCATTGAGGATGAAGCCAAACTCTGTCCTAATGTTGGCATGCAGGCTGAATAAATAAATGAGTGTCTTCTTGCCATACTGCTAATTCTGTGAGGTTACCAAAAAATGAGTCGTATTCCCTATGCGAGCACTTTTTAAACCTATGACAGCTACCAGCCATGGCTTGTATGCTCTGCACACCATTCCACAGGCTCCACAAGGGCCAAATGTAAAGAAAACTCAGTCACAGATTCATTTCATACACTCGCAAAATACAGGCGCTCATCAGAGAGGTAAGGCAATGCTTATCCAGGAAATGAATCTAAGTCACTGCAATGTGTCAAAGCCATGGGCTTTCTGTCTTCTAATCCTGACACCACAAACACACTTCAAGTGCAGAAGAGTGCAACCTGCTTACCACGATCATCATAAATGCTCTTTTTAAAAGATTTATTGTATTTACTTGAATGACAGAGTGACAGCAAGAGAGGGAGAGACAGAGAGAGAAAAAGAGAAGTCCTCCATCCTTTGATTCACTCCCCAAACGTCCACAACAGCCAAGCCTGGGCCAGGAACCAGAGACGTCATCCGGGTTTCTCATGTGTGGCAGGGGCCCAAGCACTTGGGCCATCTTTTGCTGATTTCCCAGATGCATTAGCAGGGAACTGGATTGGGAGTGGAGCAGCCAAGACTCCAACTGGTGCTTCAATACGGGATGCATACCTCACAAGCAGTGACTCAACCTGCTGAGCCGTGTCACCAGCCCCTGAATATCATAAATCTTCACTATCAAACCTTCTTTCACAAAACTCTCCACATACGGAAATCCTGAACACTTCTGTATGGATGAACAATGTGTAGATGCTTTCAAAGACCCCTTTCTCTTCTCTTGCATTTCCTATTTGGAGTAGATATTTTGTGTTTCCAGATGATCA